CCTGTTGTACATAGATACAATAGTTTTCAGAACTATATCCTGGAGACTACAGGAGAGGTTTTGGTCTCCCCTGGAGTTTTCTTTTGTGGCCAAACAGTTCCCAGGAACCAAGCATTTAGGAGGCTGGGGTTGGGGGTTTGGAGTTTCTTTGTGTTCAGTTTTGGCCCTAGACTCCAGGAGGCCAGAGGATCTGGAGTTTCCTTGTGTCAGAGGCTTATGTGTCTTTTCTGTGGCCTGTCATGGCTGCTAAAGCAGGGGGCTGAATGAGGGTCTGGTCTCTTTATTTCTAAATTATTACAAGTAAAGCCTTTGAGTTTAGTTTACCCCTTTCAAAGACCAGCCTGGTCTATAGAGTGAGTTCCAGGACAGCCAGGGCTACATAGAGAAACCCTTTTTTGATAAACTTAAAAAAGAAAAAAAGAGAGACTCAATGGAAATAGTTAAATGTGTAGAAATAATCTCCCAAACGGAACACCACACCACTTTGAGCAACTTCACTGGTCAAAGGAGGACATGCATTTGAAGGAGAATTTAAACAGGAATTCTTAACAGCATGCTTGGGAATTTAAGATTTCTCATAAATGGTCAGATGCCGATCCAAACAACCGTGACCTTTTGGGTTTTAAATAAAGCATAGATAACATTTACTGAGGCTTAATCATAGAATAATTTTATGCCAAAAGTAATTTCCTTCTCATGTGAGCCTCTGTCTAATGTCCTAGTGTCTACCCCATCTCATGACCACATAGGATCTATGTAAAAAAAAGATAGAAGCTAGAACCCACATGTGAGAGAGAACTTGTTGTGTTTGTCTTTCTGGGCCTGGGAAACTTCTCTTCACATGTTTTCCAGTTCCATTTATTTACTGACAAACTACGATTTCATTTGTCTTTACAGCAGCTTATGTTTTCATTGTGTATGTATATCACACTTTCATTATCCATTATCAGTTGATGGACATCTAAGCTAGTTCTGTTTTCTAGCTGTTGAGAGTAGAGCAGCTGGGATAGAGAGCTGACTCAGCGCTTAAGAGCACTGGCTGCTCTTCCAGAGGACTCAGGTTCAATTCCCAGCACCGACACAGCAGCTCACAACTGTCTGTAACTCCAGTTCCAGGGGAGCAAGCACAGACCGTTGGGAATTTGCCACAGAATGGTGTAGCTAGATCATATGGAAATCTGTTTTTAGCTGCTGCTGCTCTTTTTCTTCTTCTTCTTCTTCTTTTTCTTCTTCTTCTTCTTTTTCTTCTTCTTCTTCTTCTTCTTCTTCTTCTTCTTCTTCTTCTTCTTCTTCTTCTTCTTCTTCTTCTTCTTCTTCTTCTTCTTCTTCTTCTTCTTCTTCTTCTTCTTCTTCTTCTTCTTCTTCTTCTTCTTCTTCTTCTTCTTCTTCTTCTTCTTCTTCTTCTTCTTCCTGTTTTGTTTTTCACAGGGTCTCACTATGTAGCTCTGACACTCCTGGAACTCGTTCTGTAGACCAGGCTGGCCTCGAACTCAGAGATCTACCTGCCTCTGTCTCCTGAGTGCTGGGATTAAAGGCGTGTGCTACCACTGCCTAGTTGTTTGTTATTCTTATATGACACTAGTTCTCAACCTTCCTAATGCTGTGACTCTTCAATACTGTCCTTCATGTTGTGGTCCCTTGGCCATAAAATTATTTTTTCTGCTACTTCATAACTGTAATTTTGCTAATGTTATGAATTGTACTATAAACATCTGATATTTCTGATGGTTTTAGGCAATCCCTGTGAAAGGGTTGTTTGACTTCAAAGGGGTCTCCACCCACATGTCAAGAAACACTAGTATATAAAAAGGCTACTAGTTTATTATTGTTATTATGTTATTGTTGTTTTATGTGCCTGTGTGTGATATATGTAGCTATGCATGTCATAGCATAGACATGAACAGTTTTGTGGAGTCAGCTCTCTATACCTTCACAAGGTGTGTTAGTTACTTTTCTGTTGCTGTGGTAACACACCATGACCAAGGCAACTTATTGAAGAGTTTATTTGGTCTAATGATTCCAGAGGGGTAAGAGTCTGTCTGAGGCAGTGCTTGTATTGCTGTGATAAAACAACATGATCAAAAGCAAGTTGGGGAGGAAAGGGTTTATTTTGCTTAAGTTTTCACATGACTGTTCATTATCAAAGGAAATCAAAACAGGAACTCCAAACTGGCCCGGAACCTGGAGGCAGGAGCTGATGCAGAGGCCATGGAGGAGTGCTGGCTTACTCAGCCTGCTCTCCCCCTCCCCACTTTTAGCTTTTTTGAGACAGGCTTTTGTGTGTGTGTGTGTGTGTGTGTGTGTGTGTGTGTGTGTGTGTGTGTGTGTGAAGCTATAGTTGTCCTGTAACTGCCTTTGTAGACCAGGCTGACCTAGAATTCACAGAGATCCACCTGCCTCTGCCTCCTGAGTGCTGGGATTAAAGGTGTGTGTCACCTAGCACCTGACCTCAGCCTGCTTTTTTTTTTTTTTTACAGTACCCAGGACCACTAGCTCAGGGGGTGGCACTACCCACAATGGGCTTGCCCTCTTGACTCAATTGCTAATTAGGAAAATGGAGACTTTTTTTTTTCAGTTGAGGTTCCCTCTTCTCAGATGATTAGCTTGTGTCAAGCTGACAGAAAACTAGTCAGGGACAGATTCCATGGTGACAAAGTAGAGTCATAGCAACTGGAGCTGGAAGCTGAGCGCTCATATCTTGAACTGCAGACAGGAAGCAGAGAGAACACATTAGCAATGGTGTGTGGCTTACTTCCTCCAGCAAGGCCACACCTCCTAATCCTTCCCAAACAGCAGCACCAACTGGGGACCATGTGTTCAAATATCTGAGCCTATGTAGGATTCATTCAAACCACCACCCAACGGTTCTGGGGATGGAACTCAGACTGTCAAACTTGCATAGCAAGCACCTTTATCTGCTGAATCATCTCACTGGCCCCAACTAATGATTTTTGTTGTTGTTGTTAACTTTGTATTTTGACACTTTGCTGAAAGTGTCCATTTAAAGATTCTTCTCCTGGGGTGGCTAAGGTCTCCTTTGCATAGAATCATATCATTTACAAATGAGGATAATGTTGATTATAACAACAAAGGTATTTTTCTGAGGCCAACAAGATAGCTTGGCAGGGAAAGAGGTGCTACGTGCAAGCCTGATGATCTGAGTTCAATCCCCAGATCCCATGAGGTTGCAGGAGGAAGCCAGCTCCAAAATGTTGTCCCCACGATGGCAGGCACACTTCTGCAACCACACAAACATACACACTAGATAGGTAGATAAACAGATAGATAGATAGATAGATAGATAGGCAGACAGAAAGAATATTCTATTTCTGATTCAAGACCCAATGCAGCAGGTACCTTTTGAGCACCCAGGGGTCTGTGTGTGTTTTCTTATCAGCCTTTATGGCCCTTTAGTGAGCAGGCTCTGTGATTACTGTCACTTCACAAATATGAAGACTGGGTGAGGCCTGCGAGATGCAGTGTCCTGGGTTCCCACCAGAGTGAGCAGTAGAGCCAGGGTGAGATAAGAAATCAAGCTCTGGGGATCCAGAGTCCACTTCCATGACTCTCAACCACACAGTCCCTTCCCAGACCCTGTGGAGAGCCATCTAAGTTCTCCTGCAGCCCTGGCCTGGCTCACAGTGGGTAGGCTGCCCCGTGACACAGTATATCCCCAGGAGGAGAGACAGCAGAGAAAGTCAGCTTATGTCATGGAGCAAGCACTGGCCAGAAGCCAGAAGCCCTGGCAGAGCCTGACCTCCTAGGACTACAGTTTCCAAAGCTAAGAACACAGGAGGGGCAAGTAGTGGTCATGTGACAGGACCCTCAGAGCCACCCAGCTCTGCCTCCACTTCCTTGGTTCCTCTCTGGTGCTCAACCCCATGTCTGCATCAGCCAGGCTGCGTTTGGCCTCTACCCACTTCCCTGCCCCCGTTGTCCCTAGGGCAGAGTCCTTTAATCCCTTTGCTCCCAAGATCTTAACAGGCTTGCTTGATAATAGTGTATATGGGGACTGAGGGGCCCTGGGGACTGACAGGCTCTCAGAGGAATGGAGCATGTGGGTAGAGGCTTTGGGACAGTTCCTTTATCTCCCCCACCTCTGAAGCAAATGCAGCTGTTGAGTGGGCAGCCCAGCACTCGACAGTTTCCATAGCCTCCTGCCTTCTCTGATGACATTAGTCCATAGGATACTATGGGACCAGAGTGGATGGATGGTGGTCTGCTGTGTTGGGTAGAGGTGGAGTGAAGCATGGCAAGCTGTTTTCCCTGGGCTTGGGGTTGTCTCCCCCCACTTTTAATATTTTTTTGAGACAGGGTCTCTCTGTAACAACTCTGGCTGTCCTGAAACTCACTCTGTAGACCAGGGCTGGCCTTGAGCTCACATAGATCCTCTTGCCTCTAACTCTCAAGTGCTGGTTAAACCCTCTCAGTATCTGAGCCATTTATGTGACTGTGGAGCCCACTGGCTGAGGGGAGTTGTATGGTATGCGTTGTGTGAGAGATAGCAGGAGACACGGTCCCCAGCGAGTGAGTGAGACAAGGTGCTCGATGCATAAGCATAAGGATGTAAGTTTAGATCCCTAGAACCCACACAAAGCAGATGTAGCCATGTGAGTCTGTAACCCCAGACCTAGTGAACAGAGACAGGAGGATCCCAGGACCCACTGGCCAGCTGGTCTAGTTGAAATGGTGAGCTCCAAGCTCAGTGAGAGACTCTGCCTCAAAGACTGAAGTGGAGAAGCAAATGAGAAAGACATCCTGAGGCCAGCAGGGATGGTGCACATCTTTTTTTTTTTCTTTATTCTGAGACAGGGTTTCCCTGTGTAACCGCCCTGGCTTTCCTGGAGCTCTCTGTCTATAGACCAGGCTGGCCTCGAGCTCAGAGAGATCCACCTGTCTCTGCCTCGCGAGTGCTGGGATTAAAGACGAGCTTTAATCTGCAGCATGCACAGCCAGGGTCTGACTTTCCCTCCCTGACCCCTCTGTCTTGCTGCATCCAGGTGGTTGTGCTCATGGACCCAGGCGAAGACCCGGAGGACACACTTCGTGCGCACCGGTCCCGGGAGTGCACCTTTATATTTGACACCGTGTTTGACCAGCATGCATCTCAGGTTCATACCACCCCCTCTGCCTCTAACTCCTGAACCTGGCTCCTAGGCTGTCTCATGTCGGCCTTCCTCAGAGTCTCCCTGAGGAGCGAGGAGGTTGTGGGGAGACAACCCATGAACTCCTTCAGGTCGCCAAGTCCTGTGGCCCACTCTGGGGGTTTCTCTTGAGTTTGTTCACTGGTTCCTTCATTGCACGTGATATCAGGACATACAGGCCTTTCCCACACCACCATTGGGCAAGGTTAAACTGAACACATGTGTCCTGCTCATTATAACATGTGATGGCCAACAAGGCCCTCTTCCGGGAGAGACATCTAAGGCTTAGAGTGCCCATAAAGACAGGCAGGGGTCTGGCAAGAGAAACCTATAATGCTCATCTCACAGACAGAGAGCCTCCAGGAAGTCACACAGCAGGGCCCAGTGCTGGAGGTTAGGACCAGGCATTGATCTTTCTCATACACCTGCCACTACCATCATCTGTGAGACCAGAAGATGGTACCACATGCAACCTAGCCACACATCAAGAAGGGGAGCCAGGGCCTATCGAGGATAACAGTGAAGGTAGGATTTGAGCTTAGGACTCCTGAAACGGCTGTCACAGCACCAGGGTAGCAGCATCTGGGGGAGATTTTGGACCCGAGTGAAACAGCGTAAGTGAGATGGGATGCTGTGCATGCATCCCTGTGCTACCAAGAGAGGGAAGGTCAGCTGCCCTGTATGCAATACCAGATTCCTCACTTCTTCGTCTCTTAAGAGTCTTACATTTTTATGTGTATGAGTGTTTGCCTGCATATATGCAAATGTTCTATGTGCATGCCTGGTACTCACAGAGGCCAGAAGAGGGTGTCAGGTTCCCTGGAACTGGAGTTACAGACAGTTGTGAGCTACCATCTGGGTGCTGGGAATTGAACCCTGGTCCTCTGTAAGAGCAGCTTAACCATTGTGCCACCTTCCCAGCCCCCTCCCTCCTCCCCCTCCCCCTCCCCTCCCCGTCCCCCTCCCCCTCCCCCTCCCCCTCCTCCTCCTCCTCCTCCTCCTCCTCCTCCTCCTCCTCCTCCTCCTCCTCCTCCTCCTCCTCCTCCTCCTCCTCCTCCTTCTTCTTCTTCTTCTTCTTCTTCTTCTTCTTCTTCTTCTTCTTCTTCTTCTTCTTCTTCTTCTTCTTCTTTCCAGCAGGGTCTCACTGTTTAGCCCAGGCTGGGACAAATTCACCTGTAGTCTAGAATGGTCTTAAACTCCCAATCCCTCTGCCTCAGCCTTCCACATGCTAATTACAGATGTGCCCTGCCCTGCCCAGAAGTCCTCCTGCATCTAAGAAGCTTGTCTCCAGGTGTGTGAACTATCTGCTAGCTACTGGATGCTGCAGGACATGCCCCTCCAATACCAAGTGGCTGTACTGTCACTGTCTATGGCTCTGTGAGGGGTACATGTATTTAAGATTGGATGTTCAAGGTGCTGTGGTCATCAGCTCTTTGGAGTTACATGTTGGTGGTGGTCTCCCACTTGGTCATCAGTTAGTACTGGAGTAGCTAGGAGATAGTTCATGCTCCTGGGGACAGATTTCTTAGAAGGGCTGTCTCTAGGATAGTGGCTTCATTCAGCATGGTGATCTCAGAGCTTCAGCAGGGCCAGTGGGAGCTCCCTGGACTTCCAAAGCCTGGCAAACAGAGGGCACATGTATTCATGCTGGATGGTCAAACCTCGAGGCTGATGTTAGTAAGTCCTCTGTGAGTACCAGGATAGAGGATATATTCAGCACCTCAGCTATGCAGCTAAGTGCCCAGGGCCATTCTTAGCTAATCACACTCATGCCAGGATGCTTCCTATGTCTGCTGTAGGGGACATAGGAATGTGGACAGTTTCTCAGTAAGGACACTTAACACAGAAGAAGGGCCTGCTGGGGACACTGGTCACTTTTTGTTTTCAGACAGGTCTTATTATGTATTCTTGGCTGTCCTGTAACTTGCTGTGTAGACCCTTGAACTGACCTTGAACTCATAGAGGTATGTCTGCTTCTGTCTCCCAAGTGCTGAGATTAAAGGTTTATGCCACCGGATCCAAATGGTCACTTTTGACAGTACCGCTGTCACCCTCAGCTCAGGATTAAGCTATTATTGTAAAGCAGAGTGGCTCCCTATCTACTCTCTGAGCAGAGGTCATGTCCAAGGTCATGATGGCATTCCACAGAGGGACCTGGTCACTGACAGTTATCAGCAAGCTACTTCATGCTGAGTGCTACACTCAAGGCCCCAGTGTCCCTTGCAAGCATTTTTTTTTTTTTTGGTTTTTCCAAGACAGGGTTTCTTTGTATTGTTTTGGAGCCTGTCCTGGAACTCAGTAAACCAGGCTGGTCTTGAACTCACAGAGTTCTGCCTGTCTCTGCCTCTTGAGTGCTGGGATTAAAGGCATGCACCACCACCACCCGGCTCCCTTGCAAACCTTACATAATATTCAGAAATATTTCCTTCTCCTAGCTGGATGTGGTGACACACACCTTTGACCCCACCCATTAGGAGGTAGAGGCAGGAGGATAAAGAGTTCAAGGTCATCCTCAGCTACATAGCAAGTTGTGGCTAGCCTGCACTACATGAGACCCTATTTTCTGTCTGTCTGTCTGTCTGTCTCTCTCTTACACACACACACACACACACACACACACACACACACACACTTCCTTGTTCTACATGTGAGGCATTCGTCTGAGATCATACCACACACAGCAGAGCCCAAATTCAGACTTAGCCTATGCCTGTCTGAAGTCACAGAGAGGCAGGTTAGATTTGGTGGCTTTCAGCCTAGCTTGGAGAAACTATGAGCAGCCAGAGCTGCACCAGAGTGGAGACTCAGGAGGTGCAGTAGAATGGAGTGTTGGTGGCTAAGCCAGATGAACCTGTGTTTCACTCACCAGCTCCAGGTGTCTCTTCTTGAACTCCCCCACGGGCAGGGAGCTCACTACCTGCATGTCTCCTCCTGGGCATTGCTGCCTTTGTTTCACAAGACTCCACTCCCTGCCCAGTTTCATCCCTCCAAGTGGGATCCTGATGGTAATGACGCAGTTCTAAGTCCGGTCCTCAGTCTTTCAATTCTTTCAGTAGTTTCAGGATCGACTAGCTCCTATAGGAGTGGGTGTCAGGCCTCCTGGTGGGGGGAAATTCCAAAATTTTGTTTGTTTCTTTGGTTATACTCCCACTACGTAGCTCTTGCTGGACCAGAACTTACTGTGTAGACCAGGTTGGCGGCAAACTCACAGAGATCTGCCTACCCCTGCCTCCCAAGTACTGGTCTCTGTCTTTTCTAAGCAATAGACCTCCTGACTCAGGCTGGGCTGTCCCCTTACTGTCTGTCCTCCTGTCTGTCTACAGGAAGCTGTTTACCATGCCACCATCCAGCATTTAGTGGAGGGCGTCATCTCTGGATACAATGCGACAGTTTTTGCCTATGGCCCCTCAGGTACTGGGTTGGGCATTGTTTCCAGGAGGGTATGGGCATGGTGCCAGCAGAGGTCACCTGCCCCATTCTAGAGATAAGGTCCAGGTAGCCACGGATGATTTTGAACTCCCAATCTTCCTTTCTCCATCTCCCAAGTGCTGGGATTATAAGTGTGTATCCCCATGACTGGTTTGTGCCATGCCATTTCCATTGCGCGCGCGCGCGTGCGCGCACACACACATACACACACTCTTAATGGTTTCTCAAGACAGGGTCTCTCTGTGAAACAGTCTGGCTGTCCTGAAACTCTCTCTGTAGACCAGGCTGGCCTGGAACTCACAGAGATCCGCCTGCCTCTGCCTCCAGAGTCCTGGGATTAAAGGTGAGTGCCACCACCACTCAGCTGTATTTATGTGTTTTTGGTAGTGCCTGGGATTGAACTCTGGGCCTAATGCTTTCTAAGCTAGTACTCTAGCACTGAGCCTCATTATAGGCACCAGGGACCTATGTGCTGGGCTTTGTCATCCACACCTTTTAAAGGTGAGAGTGTTCCCTCTTCACAGGAACAAGTCCAGAGAATCAGATAGCTGTGCCAGAGCACGTAGCCATCCATCAGGGTGGCACTTTCCCAAGGCTGATGCTACATTCAACCCCAGCCTGTGATTTTCTGCTCGGGAGGGCTGTGGATTTCTTCTCTGAGGTTATGAGTGATGCTCTATCAATGTTTGCTAACAGGTGGCATGAGCTAAGGCAGGAAGCTCACAAGTCCCAAGCCAGCCTGGGCTATATAATGAGACCTTGTCTGGAGTAAATAAGGAAAGGAAAAAGAAAGGGCCAAGAGTATGCCTGGTCAGGGGCTACAGAATAAAGCAGTTCTCTTCTCCTTGGGTGAGGACTGGAACCCTGTCTGTGTAGGTGGGGGCCTGGCTGCTCACTCACTCACCAGTCAGTGAAGTGCCTGGCTTAAGGGAAGGACAAGCCCATGCTGTCCTTCTTGGGGGCAAATCGGGAGGGGACCCCTTATAGAGAACACCTCCTGAAACTATGCAGGATGCCAGGCCTCTTATTGCACAGCACATTTAAGCCCCACCCTCCTGCAGGTGCTGGGAAAACCCACACCATGCTGGGCATGGATGCAGAGCCTGGCATCTACCTACAGACCCTCACTGACCTCTTCCAGGCCATCGAGGAGACCCAGGACAACATGGAATATAGTGTGTCTATGTCTTACCTGGAGGTGAGCTGACTCTCCTGCCTCAGTTGGATCAATTGCAGAATGGGTACAATAACAGCTGCCTGTGCAGAACTCATTCTCAGGCTGTGAGCGCTCCGGCAGCTCAGGCTTCCGATTGGTTCTTTTAAAAATATTTTAGGGGGCTGAAGAGATGGCTCAGGAGGTAAGAGCATCAGCTGCTTTTCCAAAGGACATGGGTTCAGTTCCCAGTACCCACATGGCAGCTCACAACTGTCTGCAACTCTACTTCTAGGTGATCCAACATCCTCCTCTGGCCTCTAAGGGCATTGTGTGCAAGTGTTGAACAGACACAGATGTTGGCAAACACCCATACTAATAAAATAATTTAAAAATTATTTATGCTGGGCATAGTAATGCATGCCTTTAATGTCAGCACCTAGGAGGCAGAGGCAGGGAGATCCCTGAGCTTGAGGCCAGCCTGGTCTACAGAGTGAATTCCAAGACAGCCACAGCTACACAGAGAAACCCTGTATCAAAAAACAAAAACAAAAGCAAATTTAAATTTATCTGTGTGGTGTGCTTTGTTCTGGATGTGAATCTGTGTACCACATGCTTTCCTGGTAGTCACAGAGGCTGAAAGAGGGTGTTGGATCCTCTGGAACTGGAGTTACAGACGTTTGAAATCCACTCTGTAAGTACTGGGACTTGAACCCCAGTCCTCAAGAACAGCCAGCACTCTTAAGCCCCAAGTTATTTCTCCAGCCCCTTCCTTATGATTCTTTGCTACTTTGTCCCAACCTTTCTGTTCTGTTCCAGATTTATAACGAAGTCATCCGTGACCTCCTGAATCCATCTTCTGGGTTTCTGGAGCTGAGAGAAGATTCTAGAGGCAGCATCCAAATCGCGGGCATCACAGAAGTATCCACCTCAAATGCTCAAGAGGTGAGGGTCATAGCCCAGCCCATAAAGTCCTCCTTGCTTACGTTTGCTGCACAGGACCAGCAGGCGGGTTCAAGCTGAGCTGTTTTCTGGCACCTGAACTTGGTCTGAGATCTCAGGTCTCTGTAGTCAGCTATGCTTCCTTGCTGGTGCTCCAGGCAGACATCACCTATCGATCCTGTAGGCTGCCCTCAGCATCCAGGTGCAGACCCAGGCACGTCTCAGCACACTATATCAGGTGAACATAGCTTGGCTTGATATCCTCTAGCTGACCTGATGATTGTTCCTTTACAAGGGCAGGCAGTAGATTTTCCTGCACCGGCTACCCTCATCTCCTCCTGCCTCCCCTTCCCTTCCTTTTCCCTTGTCTTTCTTTTTTTAGAGACAGGGTCTCTCTATGTAATTCTGGCTGTCTTGGAATTTGGGATTAGACCAGGCTGCCCTGGAACTCACAGAGGCCCACCTGCCTCTGCCTATTGAATGCTGGGATTAATGGAGTTCACTACCACACCTTTCTCTCCATCTCTCTCTCTCTCTCTCTTTTTTTTGTTTTTTGAGACAGGGTTTCTCTGTGGCTTTGGAGGCTGTCCTGGAACTCGCTTGGTAGTCCAGGCTGGTCTCGAACTTACAGAGATCCGCGTGCCTCTGCCTCCCGAGTGCTGGGATTAAAGGCGTGCGCCACCAACTCCCGGCTCTCTCCATCTCTTTTAAAATTTATTCATTCATTCACTATTTGTTTGTTTGATTGTTTATTGAGTCAGGGTTTTTCTGTGTAGCCATGGCTGTCCTGGAACTCATTCTGTAGGCCAGGCTGGCCTCAAACTCAGAGATCCACCTGCCTCTGCTCTGCCTCCTGAGTGCCTCTTGAGTGCTAAAATTAAAGGTGTATGTCACCATCACCTGGCTTAGAGGACAATTTCTTTGAAAAGATTTATTTTTATTTTATGTGTATGGGTGTTTTACCTGTGTATGTCTGTACACCACATGCATGGCTTACAGAGGCAGGAAGAGGGCAATGGATCTCCTGGAACTGGAATTACAGATAGTTTGTGAGCTGCCATGTGGATGCTGGGAAATGAGCTCTGGCCCTCTGGAGGAACAGCCAGTGCTCCTAACTGCTGAGCTGTCTCTCCAGTACCCCACCTTGTTATTTTTTGTGAAACGGGGTTTCTCATTGGTTTAGAACTTGCCAAATAGTAGGCTGCTGCAATGGTCATCCTACTCTCTCTCTTTTCAGTACTGGGATTACAGACACATGCCACTATGTCCAACTTGTCTCCTTCCTTCCTTGCTTCCTTGCTTCCTTGCTTCCTTGCTTCCTTGCTTCCTTGCTTCCTTGCTTCCTTGCTTCCTTCCTTCCTTCCTTCCTTCCTTCCTTCCTTCCTTCCTTCCTTCCTTCCTTCCTTCCTTCCTTTTGCATTGATTCTGGGATCTAAACTCAGTCCGTGCAGTAAGCCCTTTACTAATGTAGCTGTCTCTTTAGCCCTGGATTTTGTTTCTGAGACAAGATTTCACACTGTTAGCCTATAGCCTGGGATTCACTATGTAGCCCAGGCTGGGCTTATACTTAGAGCAATCCTCCGGCCTCAGCTCTTTATTTTGTTTTGTTTTGTTTTGTTTTTTTTGGTTTTTTTTTTTTTTTGGTTTTTTCGAGACAGGGTTTCTCTGTGGCTTTGGAGGCTGTCCTGGAACTAGCTCTATAGACCAGGCTGGCCTCGAACTCACAGAGATCCGCCTGCCTCTGCCTCCCAAGTGCTGGGATTAAAGGCGTGCACCACCAACACCCGGCTCGGCCTCAGCTCTTTAAATGTTAGGATGACAGATTTGAGTTACCATGGTCTGAATGACAGTGAGCATCTCAGCTCCCCTCACTCTTGCCCCATGTATGCTGTGCAGTCCTACCCTGGTTCCCACACAGCAGGGGCTCAGGAGAGGATTGCTGCCCTGGTTCTGTAGCTGCTTGCATGACAGAGCGGTTCACTTCCATTGCCAACCCCAACAGTTCTGCAGCTGCCTGGAGTTGTGACTTGAAAAGGTTCAGGGCTGCTCTAGGCTCTGTGGGGAAGGGGTGAGTTGGGCTGGAGATGTAGCTCAGTTGGTATAGTGCTTGCTTAGCATGCATGAATCCATGGATTCCATCCTCAGTACTGTGTAAACTGAGCATGGTGGCACACGTTTGCAATCCCAGCATACAGGTCATCTCTGGTTACATAGTAAGTTTGAGTTAATCCAGGCAATGTGTCTTAGTTAGGGTTTCTATTGCTATGGTGAAACACCATGACCAAAAGACAAGTTGGAAAGGTAAGGGTTTATTTGGTCTATGGTTCCATATTGTTGTTTATCATTGAAGGAAGTCGGGACAGGTACTCTTTTCTTTCTTTCTTTCTTTCTTTCTTTCTTTCTTTCTTTCTTTCTTTCTTTCTTTCTTTCTTTCTTTCTTTCTTTCTTTTTTCCGAGACAAGGTTTCTCTATATTGCTTTGGAGCCTGTCCTGGCATTCACTCTGTAGACCATGCTGGCCTCAAACTCACAGAGATCTGGCTGCCTGTGCCTCCTAAGTGCTGGGATTAAAGGAATGTGCCACCAATACCTGGCTAGGACAGGTACTCTTAATAGGACAGGAACCTGGAGGCAGGAGCTGATGCAGAGGCCATGGAATGTTACTGATCATGGCTTGCTCAGCCTGCACCCAGGACCACCAGCCCAGGGATGGTGCTATCTACCATGGTCTGGGCCCTTCCTCATCAATCACTAATAGTTGAATCTTTTTTTTTGTTGTTGTTGTTTGTTTTTGTTTTTTTTTTTTTGAGACATGGTTTCTCTGTATTGCTTTGGAGCCTGTCCCAGCACTCACTCTGTAGACCAGGTTGGCCTCCAACTCACAAAGATCAGCCTGCCTCTGCCTCCCCAATGCTGGGATTAAAGTTGTGTGCCACCAACGCCTGGCGTATAGTTGGATATTATGGAGGCATTTTTCTCAATTGAAGTTCCCTCCTTTCAGATAACTCTAGCTTGCGTCAAGTTGACATAACATTATCCACTACAGTAAGATTTTTGTCTTAAAGGGGGAATAATCCATTAGTCACATCTGTCACTGAGAGGAAGGGCAGATTGGGTACACATCAAGAATCTTCAATTCCGCTAGTTGATTTAACTAATTAATCGCTTCATGCCACAAACCAGAAATTGCTGCTATAAGCATCCCAGCCCCAGAGCGCCCTTCCCCCTTTTCTTGGCTCTTTCTAGATCAAATGTATGGCCCCTCAGGTCTGTGATCTGCCTTCCTTTCCCTCTGCCCTCAGATCATGCAGCTACTCACCAAAGGCAACCGGCAGCGTACACAGGAGCCCACAGCTACCAACAAGACTTCATCACGCTCCCATGCAGTGTTGCAGGTCACTGTGCACCAGAAAAGCCGAGGCGGTGACCTGGCAGAGGAGGTGCGCCTCGGGAGGCTCTTCATGGTGGACCTGGCAGGTGCGGAGCGTGCAGCCCAGGTACAGCGCCTCTGAAGTGCACCCACTTTCAGATGTTATTACTGTCTTTCTATTTGGGGTCTGTCATCTCGGTCTGAGTAGAACCTTGCCTGTCCTTGTTTAGATATGCTTCGGTACCCAGGACAGCGTTGGGCCCAGGAGAGCTGACTGAGTCTTAGGTAATGGATCCTGCAGGCATTTAGTAAGGAAGGCAGGTAGTCAATGCTCTCAGAGGGTTGCCCTTGTGGCAGGCAGCTCATCCTGCACCTACTGAAGGTGTCCCACTTGCTGTGTGGGCTCATCCTGGGCCTAGGAAGCCTTGTGTTTGGGTGACATATGTAATCAGATAGCAGTATCCAGGGAGGCCTGTGCTTTCACAGTCTACGGAGCCTGTGGCAGGAGTCTTAGGGCTGAGTCCAGACAGGTTCTGAGGAGTTGGGTTGGAGTACAAGGAAAAGCATTTGAAGTTCCCCACTGTGGGAAGGTAGGTAGGTGTACAGGATCATGGCAGAAAAGGCTGTATTGCCCTTTGCAGACCCAGTGTTACCAGCAGGCGGCATTTCCCTGCCCCTCTAGTACACACACCAGACAATGATGCTTATTATCTCCATAGCCATAGCCCTCCCTGGCCAAGTTCAAGTCCAGTACTGTCTCTGCTTTACAGTACAGACCTGGAGTTAGTCGCAGTGGTACATGCTTGTCATCCCAGCGCTTGAGAGGCTGAGGCAGGAGGAGCGTGAGTTTCAGACTGGCCTGGTTGACATAGCAAGACTTTGAAAACAAAAAGAAGGGGCTAGGGATGTAACTCAGGTGGTGGAGTGCTTGCCTAGCACACATGAAGCCCTGGGTTCCATCTTCAGCACTGTGTAAAACAAGTGTGATAGTGCATGCATATAATCCCAGCACACGTCTATATTCCAGAGGCGGAGGTAGGAGAATCAGAAGCTCAAGGCCATCCTCGGCTACATAGTGAGTTCAAGGCCAGCAGCATTAAATCTAATCTGTATGTCCATGTGCCACTTGTGTGCCTGGCACTGTGAAGGTCAGAAGAGGGTGTCTGATTCTCTGGAACTAGAGTTACAGACACTTGTGAGCCACCGTGCGGATGCTGGGCTCAGATGTATTTGTTGGCTCCTGTACCCATCTTCACCTGCTCATTTAGTTCATGCCATTGAGTACTCAATATGGCCAGCTGCCTGCGTGGCCCGCAGGGACAGTTGTGACTTCCCAGAGCTTGCATCCTGTGGGGGCAGCAGATGAAACAACCCTGATGGTGTGGAGAGGCAGGAGACTGCTACAGAGCCTGTGCATTAGAGGAAATAAGTGGGGCTGTGTTGGGGGGATCAGGTGCTGGGGCTGTGGACTCTCAGAGAGCCATCAAAACCCTCTCGCTTGCATTTTGTTGTAAGCAGTGTTGTCTGGGTCCCAATCTGTTTATTTCAGTTAGCTTTTCTATGTCAATCAGCTCTATATCTCCTGAGAATGGATGCTTAATACTCTGTGATACTCTGTCAAGGGGTTCTTCAGTCCTTGGGCTTGTGACCCCCAGGACCAGGGCAGGCAGGGCCATTCACTCCTTTGGACTTCAGTCCCCTCCCTGGGAACGGGAAAGGGACTCAGGCCCTGTTCAGCCCGACCTCTCTGCTCAGACTCAGAACAGAGGCAAGAGAATGAAAGAGGGTGCACACATCAACCGCTCGCTGCTGGCACTGGGCAACTGCATCAATGCGCTTAGCGAGAAGGGTGGCAGCCGTGCTCAGTATGTGAACTTCCGTGACAGCAAACTCACGCGCCTGCTGAAGGTAGGTGCTCCAGCTGGCAGTTGGGAGGGGTCACCATAGCTGACAATATCTTCCAGGAATTTAACCACCAGCACAGAGGCCTGGGGCCCTGAAGACATCACTCTGCAGAAGTCTGAGTGTGTGGCCAATGCTTGACTCCCCATCACCCTATCACCCTCCTGAGTATCCTCATTCACAAGCCCCTAGTATAATCTGTGAAACTTTTCTTTTTCTTTTCTTCCTCCCTCCCTCCCTCCCTCCCTCCCTCCCTCCCTCCCTCCCTCCCTCCCTCCCTCCCTCCCTCCCTCCCTCCCTTCCTTCCTTCCTCTTCTTTCTTTATTTTTTGAGACAGGGTTTCTTTGTGGCTTTGGAGGCTGTCCTGGAACTAGCTTTTGTAGACCAGGCTGGTCTTAAACTCACAGAGATCCACCTGCCTCTGCCTCCTGAGTGCTGGGATTAAAGTCATGTGCCACCACCACCCGGCTGAAACTTTTCTTTATACTAGGCTTGATGCTGTCTAAATAAATAAATAAGCAGGCAGTAAATAAATCTCCTTGCATCTTCTCTTGGTCTAACCTGCTCTCATCAAAATAGCAGTCAGATGGGAGCCCTGGAGGAGGTCCCACTTTTCCTGGGGGTCTCCTTCCCAGGCACTAACCTCACTGTGGTCCCCAGCATCGTCTGCCCTTCTCCCAGACCTCTGATAGTACTGGAGGAGCGCTGGGGCCACCGGTGATGTGGGGAGCACATGGCTCCCATCAACCCAATTCTGTGGTTCTCACTGAGCAGGATGCCCTGGGAGGCAACAGCCGCACAGTGATGATCGCCCACATCAGCCCGGCCAGCACCAGTTTTGAGGAGTCAAGAACCACATTGCTCTATGCCTACAGGGCAAAGAACATCAAGACAAGGGTGAGTGAGTGGGAAAGATGGCCTGACTTCAGTCCCTAGACCCACATTAGAAAAGAAAGCCAGATGTGGCATCTTGGAAAGACAGACACAGACAGATCCCTGAAGCTGGCTGGCCAGCCAACCTAGCCTCTTTGTCAAGCTCCAGGTCACAAGGTGAACTGGGCATCATAGTGCAGGCCTTTAATGTCAGCCTTCAGGAGGCAGAGGCAAGCGATCACTGTGAGGTCAAGGCCGGTCTGATCTATTAATATAAGGCCAGCCAGGGATACTTTGTGAGACCCTGCCTCAAAATTGATTAGTTAACATTTAAAAACAAGGCAGATGGAGCCTGAAGAATGACACCTGAAGTTGATTTCTGACCTGTATACTCATGAACACACACATGTACACCACATGAACGTGGATCACCCCTCCATACACTCACACAAGCAGTGGTGGCAATAGTCACCAGTGGGAAGATTTCTAAAAACAAAACAGAACAAAAAAAGCCTGATGACGTATTTGAAATCTTTTATTATGGTAAGATATACATGGAATATTTTTTTTTGGTTTTTGAAACTGAGTTTCTCTGTGTAGCCCTGGCTATCCTGGAACTAGCTCTGTAGACCAGGCTGGCCTCAAACTTAGAGAGATCCGACTGCCTCTGCCTCCTAAGTACTAGGATTAAAAGCATGCACCACCACTGCCAGGCTTCATTTAGTTGTTCCTTTATTCCATTTTTATTTGGTGTGTACATACAAGTGTGTGCATAGATGCATGTCATAGCAAGTATTTGGCTGTCAGAGGGCAACTTGTGGGAGTCAGTTCTTCTCTCTCCACCATGAGGGTTCTGGGCCGAGAGGCTTGGTGGCAATCACCTTTACCCACCCAACTTTCCGTTTTAATCACTGTGGGTTCACAGCATGGTAGTCTTGGTATAGTCACTCTGTGGTGCTACCGGAACTATTGTCCATCTTTGGTTTGTTTGTTTGTTTGTTTTTTACGAGACAGGGTTTCTCTGTTTTGGAGGCTGTCGGTCTAGCCTGGCCTCGAACTCACAGAGATCCGCCTGCCTCTGCCTCCCGAGTGCTGGGATTAAAGGCGTGCGCCACCACCGCCCGGTCTGGTTTCGTTTCTGTTTCTGTGATAAAATACCCTGACACAAGCAATCTCAAAATGAGAAAGGCCCATTTTGACTCAAAATTCCAAGTTATGGTTCACCATTTTGGGGAAATCAAGGCAAACATAGAAACTAATGCGTGTGTGCTTGCTTTCTTATGCTTGGCTCAGTTTCTCTATTCCTATGTAGTTCAACACCCCCCCCCACACACACATAGGGAATGGTGCTGCTCACTGTGGGTACCATCAATTAACTTACTTAAGACCGTCCCCCTCAGACATGCCCAGAGCCCAGTCCAATGTCGATAACCGCTCTTTGAGACTCTTCCCAGGATGATTGTGAGTTGTGTCCAGTTGACAAAGCCAGTCACCACACCCACCATGTCACTTCTCAAGCCTCTCCTTCAGGACACTTCTCACCATGCCTGACCTGATCTATCTTCAGGTCAAGCGTAACTTGCTGAATGTCTCCTACCGCATCGCGCAGTACACAGACGTCATCTCTGACCTGCGCAGGGAAATCGAACACCTCAAGTCAAAGATTGAGAAGCAGGATAAGGAGAAGAAAAGTGACCCCAGCATCCTGGATATGCAAGGTAGTACTGAGTACACTCGATGCCTCGTCACCCTCTTCTCCCTGGAACTCTGTGCCCAACATGCAGGTTCCATGGCCCCATTGCCTTTCCTAGCCCAAGTGCCTGGCAGTGGCCATTCTGATTTCTGCATTCACATTGGTCAAGTGATCCAGCCAAGGGCTATTGTTCCTGCTTCCCTGGGAGCCTCCGGCTAGTTCTAGTTTCTTGCCTATAAGATATGAGGACTAGAATATTTTTTTTTTTTGGTTTTTCGAGACAGGGTTTCTCTGTGGCTTTGGAGGCTGTCCTGGAACTAGCTCTTGTAGACCAGGCTGGCCTCGAACTCACAGAGATCCGCCTGCCTCTGCCTCCCAAGTGCTGGGATTAAAGGCGTGCGCCACTATATCTGGCTTAAGTTCTTTTTGGTGTGTGTGTGTGGGTTCAAGACAGGGCTTTTCTGTGACTTTGGAGGCTGCCCTGGAACTAGCTCTTGTAGACCAGGCTGGGCTCGAATTCATAGAGATCTGCCTGCGTCTGCCTCTCAAGTGCTGGGATTAAAGGCGTGGGCCACCACCACCCTGCTATGTCCCTTTTTTCTTTTTAATTTCATTTTCTTTTTTTTTTTTGGTGTGTCTCTGTGTATGTGTGTACACCCACATACTTCTGCATGTGGAGGCCAAAGGTCAGTGTTGAGTATCTTCCTCCCTCTCTACCTTGCATTTTTTTTTTGAGTTTAGGGAGAAAATTATTACAGATTCATAGGTAGGAGCATGAGATTTCGGTGTGGTTGTTAGCCACATAGCTGATATTCTGCTGCATGGTAAATGAGGGAGGGGCCTTCTAAGAAAGAGTTAGGAAGCCAGAGCATCAGAAAAGGCACCCCGGCTCTGACCCACCTCCAAGAGAAAAGACAGAAGGAGAGGAAGAAGTTGAACCTCTCTGAGTCAGGACTCAGAGCAGCAGGTGGACCCAACACAACCTCAAAGAGGCTCACAGCGGCTGCCTTTTGCCTTGACTTTGTTCTTTTGTTTTTGAGACAAGGTAGACTCCCTGTGCAGCCTTGGCTGTCCTGGAACTCACTGTGTAGACCAAGCTGACTTTGAACTCGCAGAGATCCTCTTGCCTCTGCCTCATAAGTGCTAGAATTAAAGGTGTATCCCCTGTCCTCCATATCTGGCTCTTATTTTTTTAATTAACTTAAAATTTTTAAATTTATTTTAGTTGTATGGGTTTTTTGTCTGCATCTGTGTCTGTACCCCACATGTGTGTAGTACCTAAGGAAGCCAGAAGAGGGTGACAGATCTCTGAGACTGGAGTTACAGATAGTTGTCAGGCGCTATGTGGGTGCTAGGAGTCAAACCTGGGTCCTCTGAAGAGTGGCCAGTGCACCTAAATGCTAAGACATCTCTCCAGCTCCCATACTGTTTTTTTGAGGCAGGGTCTCTCTCTGGATTTGGAACTTAGCAATTGATCTATGCTGGCTGCCCAGTGTGCCCTAGGGATCCACTTGTCTTTGCCTCTCCCATGCTTCAGTGCTAGAATTATAGATAGGCGCTATCACACCTGGCTTTGGGGACTGAATTCTCTCTCTCTCTCTGTCTCTCTCCCTCTTTCAAAAAAGAAAGAAAGAAGGAAGGAAGGAAGGAAGGAAGGAAGGAAGGAAAGATAAAACTGGTAAAAACAGATTCTCAGGGCACCTGTGTGGGGCTTGGAGGCGAAGCCACTGCTTCCTATGTGAACATGAGGACCTGTTAGGATCCTCAGCACTCCTGTAAAAAGCCAGGTGAAGCAGGCAGGATGGTGGCACACACCTTTAATCCTAGCTCTTGGGAAGCAGAGGCATGCAGACCTCTGAGTTTGAGGTCAGCTTGGTCTATAGGGCCAGTTCCAGGACAGCCAAGGCTACACAGAGAAACCCTTTCTGGAAAAACAAAACAAAACACAACACGATGAGCAAATTGGCAAAGAATGGGCTGGCAAAACCAGCAGAGACAGCTGATCCGAACAGGGGAGAGCTCTTGGACCCCAGACTGACAGCCGGGAGGCCAGCATGGGACTAATCCAGACCCCCCTGAATGTGAGAGTCAGTGAGGAGGCCTGGGCAACCTATGGGGTCCTGAGCAGTGGATCAGTGTTTATCCCTCGAATACTAACAGACATCATGTGTCCATAACACAAAGAGGGATGCACTCTCAGCCTGAACTCTTAGGGGGAGTGCCTGGACCCTACCCTGTGTGAAATGACAGACTCTAGATATCCCCTATGTGAAAGGAATTGACAATAGGGTGGGAGGATTGGGGGTAGGGTGGGAGGATGGGGGGGATGGTGGGAGGGTGAAGGAGGAGGGGAGGGAGAGGGAACTGGGATTGACATGTAAAACAAGCTATTTAAAATTAAAATAATAATAATAAAAAACACAACACCAGGCAGCACTGGGTGTTTCTAACCCCAGCACCGGGTAAGGGAAGGGTTTGGAGGATTGCTAGAGTTTGATGGCCATCCAGTCTGGCAAGTTGATGGGCTGCAGGATCAGTTAAAGACCCTGTCTCAAAGCATAAGGTATGGAGAGACTCTGAAAGACACACAACATTGACCTCTAGCCTGGCATGGGCACATGCAACTGCATGCATACACACAGATCCCATCGACAGGTACACAGCATATACACACATAACCCTCTACCCCTAAAAGGACATATGTACCAAAGTCAAGTTCATTAAATATATGCACACATGTTCTTTGGTTTATGAAGATAAGTTTTGGTGTAATTTACAGAGGACTTCTAAAATCAATAAAAATAAGCAAGCAGCCCAGTGATTAATAATGGGCAAGACATTTATTAGACAATTCACAGAAGAACTGCTTTTATTTTTATTTTTATTTTCATTTTATTTATTATTTGTGTGTGTGTGTATGTGTGTGTGTGTAGGTCAGAGGACAACTTGCAGAAATTGGTTTACTTCTTCTACCATGTGGGTTCTGGGGAATTAAACTTAGATTGTGAGGCTTGGCTACAAGCACCTTTACCCACTGAGCCATCTTGCCAGCAATACAGATTTTTTAGTGGCAGTGAACATATAAAAAAGTGTCAAATACTTTAGGAAACATAGGTGTCAGCTGAAATAGCTTTCACTTCTTGGACTAGGTAAAAATAAAGTTCTAGGGAATATGAAATGTGTATTAAATGGGTAATATAACAACTAGACAAAAATTAAGGTTTTCAAAGAGAAGTGAGACCATGACATTACCCATCTACCAACCTTCATTTATCCATCCATATGCCACCCATTCAACTACCCATCCACGCATCTTTTCTCTATCCATTCGTCCACCCACTCACCCATTCCTCCATCCACCCATGCTCCCAAATGCATGTTCATCCACACACTTACTTCCCATCTATCCATCATCCATCCCTCTCCATACATGCACACACCCACCCTCATGTACCCCTCCATCTATTAACCATCTGCTCACATATCCATCTGTCTCCCCATCCATCTGTCCACCCAAATACACATTCGTCTGCCCACCCACCCCCATTCATCCATCCCTCTGCCTTATCTATCATCCATCTACATTTCCATGCATCCACCCACCCACATATCTATGCATCCATCTCTCCACACATACATCTGTCTATCAAGAAACATCTGTCTGTAAAAAACCCATCCATTGATCAATTTATGTACCATCAATTACCTACCCGTCCATCCATCCACACATCCTCTCACCTACACACCCACCCATCCTCCATCCATCCACACATGTCCATGGGTCATGGCTCATTTTAACGAGTGAGCGTGGAGTCCAGCCCACCAGCCCTCTTCCCACCTACAGTCACAGTACCCCATGATGCAGAGGAGGACAGTCGTCTACAGATGAACAAGATCCGGGCACAGCTTATTGGGGCTTTCAAGGAGCAGATGGAGATGCGGCGCAGCCTTGTGGAGCTGGAGAATACCAACATTGAGCTGCACATAGACATGTCTCGCCACCTACTGACCATTGCGGAGTGAGTGCTCTGTTGCTAGGCACAGTACATCCCATAAGGAAAGGTAAGCCAAGGAACAGAGGGGGCTGCTTTTTGCTACCATCTGGAGGTCCCCAAGGAAGCAAGTCCTGTCTCTGTTCCTCTCCTATTGGTAAGCTGGGCCAAGCAGGAGACACTTCTAGATCTCTTAAAACTGGGGTTCAGAGCCAGCCCCACGGGCCAGTAAATATTAACACAATCTCTCTCCCATGGTTCACTTGCCCGTATGCATTCCTGATCTGAAGGTAGCATGACCCTGTGCAGAGAATAGCAGGGATGCCCACCGTCCACACCAGGCATCTGAAGGTGAAAGGGGTTCTAGTGATCATTACACTGGGACAGTGGGTGTCCCGCCAATTGCCCTAAAAAACACACACATGTCCACCCACTTAGGCGGTGACTTCAAACAGCACTGTCACACTCACACCCGTTGCTTCTTTTCACTCTCTATTCTTGCTTCTCACTGTAATTCCCCTCCTCTTCTCTTCCCCTCCCTTCCCTCCCTTCTCAGTCCCTTCCCTTCCTCTCCCCTTCTCCTTCCCTTAACCCTCTTTGTTTGGAACAAGGTCTTGCTATGTAACTCAGGCTGGCCTGGAACTTGTAATCTTCCTGCTTCTGCCCCCTGATTGCTGGGACGACAACTGTACATCTCTGTTTACCATGGTCACTGTCGTCATTATGCTCACCTTCCTGCTCTCTCTTCAATTGCACGAGCAGCACAGTGCTTACACTGCAGCCATTCTAAACTTGCCGTGCTGTGGGGCGCACCTTTAATCCCAGCACTTGGGAGGCAGAGGCAGGTAAATCTCTGGGTTCGAGGCCAGCCTGCTCTACATAGGGATGGATACATATGTGGAGAAGATCATGAGGGAGACCTGATTCGTCTCCATCATTTTCCCATGCTATGAGTAGGCCTAGAGAGCTCTGGGTGCTAGATGCAGAACTCTCCACTCAGGCTGATACCTGTGTCCTGACTCAGCTGGGAGCGGGAGAAGACCCACCACCATGTAAACATGGAAAGCAGTGAGAAGGACGAGGAGCCAGGGGATGCTGATGCAGAGGAGGTGGAGGCTTCAGAGCCCCCGGAGGTGGCTCTGGCCAGAGAGGAGGTGAACCTGCTCCTGGCCGAACAGCAGAAGACGGCAGCCCTCAAGGTGAGAGAGAGAGGGATACTCAGCCATGGCAATGGCGCTTATTGTCTGAGCCAGGCAATGCTTTGAGAGTTCCTTCTCAGCCCATGAAACACAGCTAGCTATGTGGTCACAGCCACCTGGGTCTCAGACTCAGAGGTGTAGCTCAGTTGGTAGAGATTTGCTTATCAAGCACAAGGCCTAGGATTCCAGCCCCAGCAACAGGTGTGGTGCTGGACACCTGGAATAGTAGCACTCAGGAAGTAGAGGCAGGAGGATCAGAAGTTCAAGGTCATCCTTGGTCAGACTGGATGCATGAGGCATTGTCTTCTAAGAAAAAAAAAGATAGGTGGTGTGCTCTGTTGCTAGGCACTGTACATCCCATAAGGAAAGGTAAGCCAAGGAACAGAGGGGGCTTACCCAGTACTTGAGAGGCAGAAACAGGAAGATCTCCATGAGTTCGAGGCTAGACTGGGTTACAGAGCGAGTTCCAGGACAGCCAGGGCTACACAGAGGAACCCTGTCTAGAAAAAAATAGAGCTTTTTAAAGAAATGAGCTGTTTATGTAATAGCTGGCTAATGAGTAAATGCAATTTAGGAAAAGTATAAAACTCTTGCTTGAGGAAGCTTTGGGGGAAGGCCAATGATGCCAGGAACTGGGTGGCTCATTAGCTAAATGCTGTGGGTGTGTCCAGTGATGTCAGATTGTTAAAAGCAAACATCATTTAATTCTCTTAAAAGCTATGTAACGAAACAAGAGGCCCTTCGTGTTTCTACACCTGCCCGCTGCAGTCTCGGCTCCTGCCGTCTCACTTCAAATTAATGATTAGACTCTCTACAGCTTTTAAAATTAAGATAGATGCCTCTTGTCTATGCCAGTGATGTGCTTCAGCTAAATGGCATGAACCCCAAGGGCAAATTCAGATATCAACAAGTGATGGAACCTGCAGTGACAAGCCTGCCAGTCAGGAGCTACACAGAGGTGAGCCTGTCAGTCAGGAGCCTGCAGTGGTGAGCCTGCCAGTCAGGATCCTGCAGTGACAGTCAGACAGGAGCCTGCAGTGGTGAGCCTGCCAGTCAGGAGCCTGAAGTGGTGACCCTATCAATCAGGAACCTGCAGTGCTGAGTCTGTCTGTCAATAAATGAATAATTAAGCAAAAGTCAAGGTTTTAAATAGCTGGAGGCCATGCCCTGGGGCTTCAATGAAAACTAGCCATGTCCTGTGCCCTGAGCTCAGATCTGAGGGGAAGAGACACAGGTGTGACTTGCTGGAGCAGCTGTAGTCACTGGAACAGGTGCAAGTGGGCAGAGGAGGGCCTGTTTTTCAGTTAGGGAGTTGGGAACTCAGAAGGCTGTGTGGAGGGGAGTGGAAGAGGGCATCAGGGGAGTCTGGATGGAGTTGGGGAGGACTGAGGGGAGGTTGCTTGGGGAGGAGTAGGGATGAAGGGAGTGAAATCAAATCCTGATCATAAGGAAGGTGGCAGAACACATCTCCTGCAACTGTTATCTACCCATCCCTTGGGGACCAAGACTCTGGGCACAAAGGCAGTCTGAGCCCCACACGTGACTCTCTGGGGGCCATGTGGAGTTAGTCGAGTGGTGTGATAGCTTTGCTGAGTCACCTGAGCAGACTCCAGCATGAAAGTGTTTTATAGGAGTGGTCAGTATCTCCATCAAGTGCACACAGACACACAGACACACACACACACTCACACACTCTTGTTATGAGCACACAGAGCATATGGACACATAGAAGCAAGTCCATAGGCATATCTATGTACAGAGATCTGGAGACCTGCCTGGTAGGTGTGTAGAACCTGGCTACAGGCTGTGTGTGGGTCTCAAGGGCTCCCAGATCATTTTACACAGGGTGAGCAGTTCAGGAGGCTTACAGTAGACAAGCTCTCCCTGTGTCCCCTCACGTGCTGATTGAGATGATCAGGACCTGGAGTGCAGCCCACCGCCTTGTGAGATGGAACACCCTGGAGGCATGTCACAGTGTGAGGGGGGTGATTATGTTTCCTGGCATTGAAAAGGCGGTTTGCCACTTACAGTTCCCAGTAGGAGGGGCTGCCATTCCACAGCACACATGGCCCCATGCAGAAGTGCTGGGGTGGTTCAGGAGATAAGAGAAGGAGTAGAAGAGGGGGCCAAGAGTTCCCACTCCGGTTTCTGCAGGAAGGAGCAGATGGGGTGGATAGATAAGCTTGCATTTCTGAGAGACATGAAGCTTCCGTTAACACTTGCCCCCAAACTGGAGCAGCACTAACAGCCCATGACTCATTCAAGGGCTGGGAATGTGAATCAGCCGGTAGTGCTCCTGTGTAGTCTGCATAGAGTCCCGGGATCATCCCTAGCACCGCATAAACTGGACTCTTGGTGGTGCACACCTGTAATCCCGGCACTCTGGATGCAGGAAAATCAGGAGTTCAAGGTCATCCTCAGCTACATAGTGAGTTTGAGGCTAGCCTGGGCTATGTGACTCTGGCAGAAAAGAAGGTGGGGCTGGGGAGAGGAGAAGGAAGAGGAGGAAGACTCATCCAAGTTCTGCTTGAGGAATGAAATGAGTTTATTAGGGATTTCTCAGGGTGGTATGCTGCTAGGATGGATGGCTGCATTTTCTGCAAAGTTACCAACACCCTGCCTAGAAAGCTCCCATATTTTCTTAGAAAATATTCATTTTTATTTATGTTTCTGTATGTGTGTGACTGTGTATGCATGTGAGGGCAGTGTCTGAGGAGACCTGAAGAGGGCATCAGATCCCATAGAGTTACAGGTAGTTGTAAGTCACGGGCTATGGGTAATGGGGACAGAACTTACATCCTCTGTAATAGCAGTATGTGCTCTTAACTGCTGAGTCGTCTCACCAGCCCTGAATCTCCTGTATTGTGTGGCTCTGGGACTACAGAATTCCTGCACAATTGGAGAAGAAAGGGTTTATTTTAGGTCATATTTCAAGCACGGTCCATCATGGTGGTTAGGCTTGGTGGCAGGAGCATGGGGCAGCTGGTCACATGGCATCCACAGTCAGGAGGCAGAGATGGATGGATGCAGGTGCTCAGTTCACTTTCTCCTTACTCAGTCCAGGACCCCAGCCTAGGGAAATGCTGTGTCCTATGTTTAAGGTGGGTTTCCTAATCAACAGAGGCCCTCACTGGCATGGCCACATGCTACCCAGTTCACATTATTGTCCATGTGTGTCTTCTAGGCAGCTGTGGCTCTGTCAAACGGACCTCGCCAGTATCGGCCCTCCCAGGAGCTCATCATTAGGGCTGGCTGCCACATGTCTCATGAGGCTGACTAACTGTGTCCCTGCTTGCCCCAAGCTGTCCTTGTCTTCCCACAGGCTGGGCTAGAGCAGCGCCTGGCCCATGCCAAGCAGAAGGCCTCCCAGATGGAGAAGCTGCTGCCCAGGCAGGTGACCAGTGAGGACCAGCGGGAGGTGCTCCAGCTGCTGTGCAGGGCCCACCAGCTGGAGGTGGAGAACACAGAGCTGCAGGCTGACAACTTGTGTCGCAAGAACCTGCTGTGTCAGAAGGACTTCGTGATTCAGCGATACCACCAGCACCGGATGCTGTGTGAGCAGGTCATCCAGGGGCAGCGGCAACTGATGCAGGGTAAGGCCAGCTTGGTGTGTGTGATCAACTGGTACTGCATTTGAAAAAGAGAAACCACAGGACGAGGGCTAGGGAGATGGCTCAGTCAGTTAGGTGTTTACAAGTGTGGGGACTCGAGTTTGAGCCCCAGAACTCATTAAAAAGCTGAGTGTGGCCGGGCAGTGGTGGCGCACGCTTTTAATCCCAGCACTTGGGAGGCAGAGGCAGGTGGATCTCTGAGTTTGAGGCCTGTCTGGTCTACAGAGCAAAGATGGCTGGCTAGCTGGCTTAGCATACTTGGCAAAGTTCCAGGCTAAAGGGAGACTTTGTCCTAAACAAAAGGTGGGTGATGCCTGAGGAAAGACACCTGAGGTTGTCCTCTGACCTCTACATACATGCGGTGTCTCTCTCTCTCTCTCTCTCTCTCTCTCTCTCTCTCTCTCTCTCTCTCTCTCTCTCTACTCACTCACTCACACACACACACACACACACACATACACACACGGGTGCGCACGAGCGCTCACAGGTGTGCACATGAGACAGAAGGACTGGGGACATAGCTCATTGGTATAGTACTTACCTAGCAAGCCTAAAGCCCTGAGTTCGATTCCCAGCACCATAGATAAGCAAAAACACTCTTTGAAAACACAGGACAAGAGTACAGCACAGACACTGTCCTGCCACCATCCTGCTTATTGTGGCTGGCTCCCTGTACCCACCCCATCCCTCCCTCCTTCCCTACTGTCCTCCTTTCCCCTCTTTCCTCCCTCTCTTTTCCCCTCCATCTTCCCTTCCCAGCGTTACATTGCTTAACTCAGGCTGTCTTCAAACTCATAACTGTCCTACTTCAGCTACCCTAGTGGCTAGCTCCAGCTTTTTTGTCTCCCCAGGTAGCCCTGGCTGGTCTGAAACTTGCGGTGTAGACAAGATTGGCTTTAAACTCACAGAGCTCCGCCTGCCTCTTTCTCCTGAGTGCTGGGATCAAAGGTGTGCACCATCACACCCAGCCTTGTCTTCACTTTTTAAAAATATTTGATTTATTCCGTATTGTATGTGGGTATTTGTATATGCATACATGTACATATGGGTGCACGTGTGGAGAACAGAGGCCAGTATCCAGGTGTCTTCTTGTACCACAGACCACCTTGATTTTTGAGACAGGGTCTCACATTGAACCTGGAGCTCACTGAGTAGGCCAGTTTAGCTGGCCATTAAGTCCCAGGAATCTTCCTGTCTCTGTCTGCCCATCGCTGGAGTTAAAGTCACACACCACTATTCCTACTCTTTTATGTGAGTACTAGGGACCCAACACATGTCCTCATGCCTGAGCAACAAGCACTTTACCCACACAACCATCTTTCCAGCCCTTTCTTTCTCTCCAAGGCTGGATCTCATTGTGTAACTCCTGCCTCAGGTCTCTCTCAGGAGTGGGGACCCCAATCATTTCCCTAGCTCTGTGTTTTACCTGTTTGGGATATTTCCTGTGAATTCAGTCATATACTACATGGTCTTTGGTGTCTGATTTCTTTCACTTAGCATAACATTTCTTAGACTCATTCATGTTGTAGCAGACACCACAATGTCATTGGTTTTCATAGCTGAGTCATATTCCACCACATGGACAGTCCGTGTGTAAAAGCTCATCTGTTAGTGTTGTCACAATCTATGGCTATTATGAACAGCACTTCGGAAAACATTCATGTTCAGTTTTCTTTTCTTTCTTTTTTTAATTTATAGAAAGAGGGTTTTTGTGTGTAGCTTTGGAACTTGCTATAGGCCTGGCTGGCCTCAAACTCAGAGATCCACCTGCCTCTGCCTCACAAGTGCTGGGATTAAAAGTATGCACCACCACTTCCTGGCCAGAAAAAGAATTTTAAACTTCAGATGAGGTGTAGCTCAACGGTAGAGTATTTGCTTAGCATGTTTGACACACAGGATTTACCAAGAGTAATGGTGCATGCTTTTCATCCAAACACAGGAGTAAAAGGTCTACAGATCTCTGTGAGCTTAAGGTCATCCTGGTCTACATAGTGAGTTCTCAACCAGTCATATCTGCACAGTGAGACCCAGGCCACACCCTGCCCCCAAAAGACCCTGAGCCCATCTTCATTATCACACACACGCACACAAAAATCATCGGAAAAAATAAAATAGAGCTGGGGATGCCACCTAGTTGGTGGAGTGCTTTGCCTAGCATTCATGAGGCTCTGGGTTCCATTCCCAGCACTGTATAAACCAAGTATGGTGGCACACACCTGTAATCTCAGCACTTAAAGGTTCAAGGATATCCAGAGCTACATAGTAAGTTCAAGGCCAGTCTGGGCAACATGAGACCCTGTCTCAAAAAACAAAACTGGATGGGAATATAAAATACAATATACTGGAGAAAAACTTCCCTTCAAACATCTCTGGTAGTGACTTTCACCTGTGTTGAGGTGGTGTGGTGTACCACATTCCCCAACATCCCTGGTAGTGACTTTCACCTGTCTTGAGGTGGTGTGTTGTACCACTTTCTGATGGCTGCTCTCTTTGCCTCCCCAGACAGTGGCATTTCAGCGCCAGAACCCCTGGAGCAACAGTACCGACTGTACCTCCGGGAACTGGGCGAGGGCACATTGGACCGCCTGCTGCTGCAGCTCTCTGTGATGTCCAGCTCAGTCGGAGTGAGTCCCACTTCCTCTACCTCTGGCTAGGACCATGATCAGCAAAATCCCATGAGACTTTGCCCTAGGTCAATCAGTGCTGGCCATGCTGGGCACCAAGGAAACGGGGAAGGTGACTAAAGAGATATTCATGTACCAGGTACCCAGAGTCAGTTCCAGGTGGAGCATGTGCTGAGCTACACAGGCTGCATAGTCAGACAGGGACCAGGACCAGAGGATGAGCAAGGGAGAGGGCTTGGTGGCTGACGTGCTTAATATGGGAGCATAGGTGCCCAAGGCCCTGGACACAGAAAAGAGCCTGTCACCCCAGTGCTGGAGAGGCAGAAATAGGTGGATCCTTGGGGCTCAGTGAGCTGCCATTCTTGCTGACTTGATGAGTCCCAGGTTCAGTGACAGATCCTGTTTCAAAGAAAGAGAGAAGAAAGAAAGAAAGGAAGGAAGGAAGGAAGGAAGAAGGAAGGAAAGAAAGGGAAAAAGAAGGATAGTTTAGTAAAACAACCAAAGTCTACCTCTGCCCTCTACATGATGCACTGTTCTCCCACATGTGCATTTGCATATGAGCATGTGTATACACATACATAGTGCACACACGTACACAATACAAAATAACTACGGGAGTTCAGCAAGTCTAAATACCACAGCCTGTCCAGTGAGCTAGTAGAGCAGGGTCTCCCGGAGGGCTGGGTGGGTCTGGGTGCTGTTGCCTTGGATCAGGTCACCACTGCTCTCTCTCCAATAGTCCTTGGCTATCCCTGAAGAATCTGAGGTGGGCCAAAGCTGATGGGAGGGAACCCTGAGCACTGCCTTACCATCTCGGTGACTCTGGGATGCATCCTCTGGGGAACGCAGAGAAATACTTGAATTTTATTCCCTCCTCTGGTTTTTCTCTCTTTCTTTGGCTTTTTGAGATAGTGTTTCTCTGTGTAATATTGGCTGTCCTGGAAGGAACTCACTCTGTAGACAAGGCTGGCTTCGAACTCACAGAGATCCTCTTGCTGCTCTTTCTCCATAAACGTGTGTGTGTGTGTGTGTGTGTGTGTGTGTGTGAGTGTGTGTGTGTGTGTATGTGTGTGAGTGAGTGTGTGTGTTTGTGCATGTGTCTGTGGCAGTCAGGATGCTGAAGATGCCACTCAGAGCCTTGTGGGTGGCTCTACCACTGAGCCCCACACCCAGCCCTATTGTTCTTTTGAAAGGACCATCTTTAGCACAGCCCACACAAGCATTTGGCTTCTATGGAACTCTTTGCTCAGCACACTGGGGTCGGGCTCCGGTTCTCAGCACTTAGGAGCTTCTCTCAGCATAGGGAATCCCTTCACCCATACCCGGGCATCTCTAGGGTCAGCTTCTTCAAGCATTTGCCCAGGAGCAGCCTCTGGAGTTCTCACCTGTGGGAGGAGACCATTTGGCTTACATACCATGGTGAGCCGTTAGCCCTACTCTCTCTGGTGTCATCACACATTTTGACCTTTGCTGGTGACAGAAGTGCTGAAGATTTCTTAGTGTCTGGAGGTGTCAGTATCATATCTTCTGGATTTCTTAAGGCTCGTGGACAAGTCTTGCTAAACCATCAGCTGTAACTGCAGAATTCTTCCTTTGTGTGTGTGTATTTTCTGTGCATGTGCAATTGTGTGCAAGTGCATAAGGAGTGTGAATGCCAGAGGACAACCTCATGGACATGATTCCTACCATATTTTTTTTGAAATAGTCTCTCAATGAGTCCCAGGCATCCCACCTGTCTCCACCCCTACCCCAGAGCTGGGATTACAAGTGTGAGCCACCCTGCCTGGCGTTTTTTTCTTTTCCCTTCTCTTTTTTCATGTGTACATGAGTGTGATATGCATGCATGTGTGTTCACATGTGAGTGGGCATACATGTATGTGCAGGTGCACAAGCACAGGTATGTATGTTTGCATGTGGAGGTCACAGGTTGACACTAGGTTTCTTTTTTGATTGTTCTCCATCTTATTTATTGAGACAGCCTCTCACTTGAACCCAGAGCTTGACAATAGAACTAGTGTAGGTAGCCGGTGTGACCTGGATATCTCCTGTTTCTGCCTCCTGAGCACTGGGATTATAGATGTGGCATCCTGTTCACCTGGCATTTGTGTAGGTCCTCAGGTCCTCATGCTTGCATGGCAAAAGCTTTATCCTCTGAGCCATCTCCCCATTCTCTTTGCCTAGCATGGGTTCTAGAGTTCATCAAGGTCCTTGTGCTTTCAGGGCAAGCATTTTAATGACTGAGCTACATCCCAGCCCTCCCCCTTCCTTCTATTTTGCTTTTCTCCTTCCTCCCTCCTCCTCTCCCCTCCTCCTGCATCTGTTCTGGCTTCATCTCTGCTGCTGTGATAAAATGCTCGCATATAAGCACCTGTAAGGGAGGAAGGGTTTATTGGGTTTATTCCAGGTCTGGTCTATCTTGAGGTAGAAACTTGAACTAGTCACAGCTCCAGTCAAGAGCAAAGAGGACCAGCCTGGACTACCAAGCGAGTTCCAGGACAGCCTCCAAAGCCACAGAGAAACCCTGTCTCGAAAAACCAAAAAAAAAAAAAAAAAAAAAAAGAGCAAAGAGGAAATGCATACATGCCTGCACTGTTCAGGACTCAGGAAATGATGCTGCCCGCTCTGAGGCTAGGTCTTCCCACATCAATTAATGTAATCAAGACAATTCCCACAGACATGCCCACAGGCCCCCTGGTCTACACAGGCTCTCACTGATGCTTACTTTCCACAGGATTCTAAATTGTTTCCGGTTGACAATTCAAAGCATCCCTTGCAGTATCTCTCTCTCTTATCTGCCTTCCTTTTTCCTTCTTTTTGACATGGGAAGCTATGTATAAAATTTATCATTGTTTTTGGGGAGGGGCTGTACTGACATAAGCTAGAGTCATCAGAGGAAGGAGCCTCAGCTGAGGAAAGGCCTCCGTGAGATCCAGCTATAAGGCATTTTCTCATTGTGGGGGGTGCCATCCCTGGGCTGCTGGTCCTGAGTTCTATAAGAAGGTGGACTGAGCAAGTCATGAGGAGCAAGTCAGTAAGCAGCTTCCCCCTATGGCCTCTGCATCAGCTCCTGACTCTAGGACCCTTCCCCATTTGAGTTCCTGTCCTGACTGCCTTCAGTGATGAACAGCAATGGTGAAGTGTACGCCAGATAAACCCTTTCTTTCGCAACTTGCTTTTTAGTAATGGTATTTCATTGAAGCAATAGAAACCCTTGCTAAGACAGGGGAAGTACTAAGGGGTGAACTCAGTACCTTACACATTCTAGGCAAGTGTTCTACCACCATTCTAACTATTTGTATTTTATTTATTTTTGTCTGTTTGAGACAAGGTCTCACTATATACCCTGGCTTGCCTGGAATTGCCTCAAATTCACAGAGATCCCCCTGGCTCTGCCTTCTGTGTGCTGGGATTAAAGGTGTATATGCCACCACAACTTCCATAGCACTAAACAAATCCACCCCACTGTGAAGCCATTTTCATCTTGTAGAATTTTCTCTTCTTCCCAAATCAAAATTCCCCACTTATTAAACACTAGCTCCTCTCCCTGGTCCCTGGGACACTGTCATACTGTGGACTGGAGAGTGACTGTCCCAGGAACCTCCTGTAAATGAAGATGGAGCTTCTGTTCCTGTGATAGATACAGGTTAAGGAGCCCTGGCTGGTGGCCCATGGCCCCTGGCTTTCTTTGAGCCCTGGCGGACAGAGTACACCAGCTTTCCCATGGCCCATCAGAGACCTGCAGCTTGGTGACACAGTCTCCTGTGCCCTCACTGTCCTGACTCTTCTCCTCTGCTTCCAGGATGGCCCTATTATGGACATATCACCCTCAGCACCTGAGGACACCGGTGGAGAGCCTCCGGGTGAAAGGCAGGACCTCCCATGGGGTGCCACGTTTGAGCTGCCTCAGATGCTCCTAGAGAGAGACAGGTGGGCACGGAGCCTGGGCAAGAGTGAAGGTATCAGGTCCTGGGTGGGGCTGAGGCCGTAGTTCTCAGAAGCTCCGCTGACACACAGCTGGGGGCTCTGAGCCCATGTCCCCTCCTCTGGAGGCCTGTCTCATTTCCTCCTCCTGAGCCTGTCTTAAAGAACGAAGGTGCTGAGGAGATATCTCCCTGGAGAAAGGGTGTGCTTTGCAAGCACAGTGAGCTGAGTTCAATCCCTAGAATCTACATAAAATAACTGGGCAAGATGGGATGTGTACATTACCATCCCTACATTGAGGAGGTGGAGACAGGCAGCCACCTTGGAGTTCACAGGATTGGTGAGTTCCAGGCTCTATTTCACAAAATCAAGATGAATAATGTCTGGAGAATGACAGTTGATATTGCCCTGTGTCCTTCATGTGCCGGAGAACACACATGTGTATCTACCTCCTCCATGTACATCTGCACAGACATATGCACCCATACACACATGTATACACATTTAAAGAATGGTAAACTCATCACAGGAGGTACTGGCTGCATGGAACGGTGGTAAGCTGAGGCATTTGGCGAGCTTGAGGCTGGAAGTGGCCTTATCGGTTTTTGGGTGTTTGTGTCATGAATGTGTTCAGTGCCACTTAGCCCTGTCTCTGAAGCCTTCCTCCCCTTCCTCCCCTTCCTCCCCTGTTCCCTTTTTCTGTGGCATTCTCCAAGATGAAAACTCACACCAGTAAGTGAAACACCCACAGGCTCTTTCTGTAAGTTTAAGAGTTCACATCTGACCAATCTGTGTGACTGTCTCGTCACTCTGGCTGCCTTAACGAAACGCCATATCCTGGGCAGCTTAAGCAACATGAATTGTCTCATAGGTATGGAAGCTGGAGGTCCAAGCTCAGCCTGCCAGAGGTGTGAGGGAGCCTGGTGAGGGCCTCTTCCTGGCTGGGCCTCCTTGCAGTGTCCTTTCATGCTGAGGCAGGAGAGAGAGGGAGGGAGACAGCACAATGGTGACTTCAATATCTTTTTTAAAATTTGTTTTTGTTTACTGATTGTTTTTTTCTGAGACAGGGTCTTATGTTAGCCTAGGCTGGCCTTAAGTTCACTCTGTGACCGAGGATGATCTTGAACTAAGGATCATCCTCCCCAGTGCTAGGATTATAGGCATATCCAGTTCATACAGAGGGAGCCCAGGGCTTTGTGCGTGTGAGGTAAGCACTGTGCTCCGAGAGTGACAGCCTCACCCTTTCCCCCTGAATCTAGAAACCGGAGGACTCTAGACAAGTGCTCTACCACTGATCCATGATCCTCGTCCCTCATGGGGGTTCTGGACAGGTGCTCTTGCCAAGCCACAGTTTGAGGGTACACTCCTTTATGGTGGAGAAGGCATGACACCCACCATAAGTTAAGAAGCAGAGAAATGAATGCTGATGCTCAGCTCATTTTCTTATCTAGTCCAGGACCCCCGCCCATGGGATGGTACCACTCAGATTTAAGGTGGGTCTTCCTGCCTCAATAAACCCCATCTTCATAACCCTTCGTAGGCATAGAAAGAGAGTCATTTACATGGTGAGTCTATAACCTATTAACTTGACAAACCCAGACTGAACATCATGACTGTCTTTCTCCACCTCATATAAGGGCAGCACATGACCCACTGCAAACTTGTGCTGTCCCCTGGCTACCCATAGTAGGTGACCAGAATGGATGAGCCAGCCTGATCCCTGCTACAGCAACATAACTGAAGCCAGCATCTTGCCCAGGGCATGGACCATAGTGCTCTGAACTGGAACAGCAGCTGAGGCTGGATCCTAGCTCCCCAGGTTGTGACTTACCCAGGGGTTCCAGAGTGTCTCCTGTTTCATCCACAGTGACGGGAACAGGTCCTCAAAGAGCACTCCATTGTGGAGACTTGGGAAGCAAGACTCGCTTCTCCCTCCACCAGCCGTCCGCATCCTGCTGACACCACCCATGCTTGAGGTTGGTATGCAGGGTGCTAGCTAGAGGGTGGCCTCTAGACTGCATGGGGAGAGACTGCTTCTGGGGTCCCATGCTGTGGCTACAGTGACTGCGGGTGGCTTGTGCTTCTCTTTCACAGAAGTCAAATGCTCTAGGAGCAAAGAGCCTGGTCTCCAGACTGCAGCCCACGGCTGGTTTGGAGCTGAGAACCCCACAGCCAGCAGGAGAGATGAGCAGCCCCCCTCTGAGTGTCCAGGCCCTCAGGGAGATGGCCCTGAGCACCAAGAGCATCGCCATCATAGCAGCCAGCCGTCGCTGCAAAGTGTATGACAAAGAGGGCAGCTGCCTGGACTCCAGGGACCCCAGCCCTGCAGACTGGAGGTGGCCCCATGCCAGCCCCAGCAGGGACCGCTCTTTGGAGAGGAAGGCAGGGAGGAAGAGGTCACCCTCGTTCACCTGGAGCCTGCAACAAGTACATAGATGTCTGTTTGGTTGCTGGGGTATAGCTTGGGACAGGAGAAGAAGAGGGCAGAGAGGGCAGATGGGCACTCACACTGCCACATATGTTTGGGATCTCTGCACTTGAGGTAGAAGAAAAGTATGCCTACCCGATCGCGTATAGTGCCTAAACCACTGCATGACCCAAAATCACACTGCCCTCTTACATTTTGTGAAGTTATAACTCTGGAAATGCAGCTCTGTGACCTGAGAACTTCCATGATGTGCCAATTCAGTATTAAATATCTTTCTCCTTCCTCTGCTAAACATAGTGTATTCACTGGCTTGAGAGTGATATGAAGACTGGGCATTGTGATGCAGGCTTTCAGTGCCAGCACTCAGAAGCCTGTGGCTAGAGGGTTGTGGGTTTGAGGCCAGCCTGGGCAACATATTGTGACTCTGTGTCCAAAACACTAAAACCAAAAATATCAAGAAAGAAAAAAAGCTATCAGCTGATTTGTTCAATATAAAAGAAGGGAAGTAGCAGAATTTGAGGAGAGAGGAAGAGAGAAAAAAGAGGTGGAGGGAGAAGAAATGAGCTTCTGCTTTTAGCCATGAAGGCAGGAAGAACCTAGTGTCCCACTTGAGAGACAGGAGGGGTCTCTTAGTGGGAGTGTCTGCTTTCCTCTCCCACTCAAGCATTTACCAGATTGGATGACGCCCACCCATGCATAGGTTACTGTATGGAATGTATCACACACCCTTGAAAGCCCTCCATAAGGGAAAGGAGAGGAGTCAGACTCATCCATCCATTCACTCGTTTACCGTTACTCTGGTACACCTTTTCTGTGCACCTTTTCCAAACTGCAGATGACAGAGAAACATCAGCCCTCTTCAGAATATCCACCAGAGATCCAGCTGTCCCCAGCACACCTCCAGCCACCGAAACCATCAGGGAAGAGCTTTTTCCCTGCTGTCCCCATGGCCTCCAAGATGAGAACCGGCCTCAGTTTTCACACAGGTATGGTGTAGTTTTGTTTGTTTTTTGTTTTCTCTTTGGGAGCCTGCCACCCAGCTCCCAAAAAAATACACAGAGATCCTGTCTCAAAAAGCAAAGTAGAAGGCTGTGCATGGGTGGTGCACGCCTTTAATCCCAGGCAAAGGCCAACAGATCCCTGTGGTCCTTCAAGAATTATACTCTAAGTATGTGATCCAGCACTCAGGAGGCTTACCCAGAAGTGTCAGGAGTAGCAGGCCAGCCTGGGCTACATATTGAGACTCTGTCTCCCCAGCAATCCATTACTGGTTGGGTGATGCATGCCTGTACTGCCAGCTCTTGGAAGACTGAGGCAGAGGGATTGAAGCCAACCCAGACCTCTTAGCAAAATACTTTCCCCCAAAACTACCCCTTTTTCTTCCTCTTCATTTCCGTCCTCTGTGTCCTCTTCCTCACTCCCTGTTGCTCTTTCCTCACCTCCCTGCCCCCACTCACCTTCCATCCTCTCTCAGCCTCCTGTGGAACTGAGGTCCTGAGGAAGCAGGCCCATCTCTTTCCCGCTCCCTAGTCTCATCCCTAGGCTTGGCAGGTCATCCCTACAGATAATATTTCCCGTTGCTGGTGCCTCCTCAGATGAAAACACACTTCATGTGCCAGAGGTCAGCTTCACCTTCCCCAGTGCCATGTGGCAGAGCCATGCAGCCTCGAGCCGGCCTCCCCTGCTGCCACATGACATCCGAGGTCAGTGCCTGTATCTCCACACCTGTGCCCCCTGTCCCTACCCCACTGGCATCTTGGATACTCTGCTCCATCTGTGTGAGGCTTGGTAGAGTGCCAGCAGCCTCCCACTCTATAGCCTTCCACTCTGCAGGCCTCTGTTGCCTGTGAACTGTTTGGAGGGCAGCAGTGCTCTCAGAAGACAGGTGCTTGGGGGATGATGACCTGGGCAGTGAGTGGAAGGCCTGGACTGGAAGTTGAGGCCTCTGTCTCCCTTGCCCAGCTTGTTCTGGTTGTCTGGGAGGAGACAGTGGGACCAGGTGGCTTTCCAAGCTGACCTTGTCCCAGCAAGTTTCCTGCCATCCCTGATGGAGCACTTCTCTGCACTTTCAAACATTTCCCTCAACTTTGAATCAGATGTCTGGTCCAGAGGGCATAGTTGGAAGCTGAGGGTCAAGGGTCAAGGTGGTTGGGCAAGGGCTGGATACAGCCCGGAAGAGGAGGGTTTGCAGGCTTCAGTGTTGTAGGGGACAATGTAGCTGGGAATGGGATACTGATGGAACAGGCACCCTACTCAGTAGGTCAATGGGTGGAAATGAGCAGGGTGAGGGTCAGGATGAGGAGAAGGGAGGCTGGTATCTCAGGGCTCTGTCTTGGGGAGGTGGCACCAGGGGACTGGAGCCAGGGATTAGGTGTCTGGTGGGCAGATAGGCACCCAGATGAGTCCATTCCCTACTCAGTGCATATGAATCCTCCAGGTTCTTTTAAAAAGCACTCTTGCTGGGGGTATAGTTAACTGTGTGTGCTTGCTGAAATCCATACAACAAAGCCCTGTGAGGTGGCCTGTGTTTATAATCCTAGATCTGAGGAGGCAGAGATGGGGAGACCCCTGAGGTTCACAAGCAGCCTAGGGCCCAAAGGACAGCATCTGTGTACTCTGGCCTCTACACAAATGTTTACTGTCATGTAGCCACATCATATGTACCTGCACACACATCATGCACACAAGTATTATTTCATCATATGAATTCAGCCCCAGCTTATGATCTAGGACAGCACCTTCCACATCCATGTATACAGTCACAATGTAGGCTGGCCTGGAAGTCACAATCCTCCTCCCTAGTTTCCTTAGTGCTAGGATGACAGACCTGCACCACTTAGCCCCCTGTTCACCCTGGCTCATTCCTCCAAAGCCAAGGCTGTAGTGGTTTGCTCAGCTGAAAAAGATTCCAGCTAAGGCCCCTCCCAGGACAGGAGAATGGCCAGTCTAGGCATCAGTCCTGAGGGTCACAGCCTCATCCCTCCTCTTCCTCCCCATACGACCTCTCTAATTTTTTTAACTTGAACCAAGAGTGATTCTAACTCATCTTGTGCACTACTGAATCCCCACTATGAGGTTGGCCACATTAGTGTCCATATTTATGTCATCATCATCTCAAATGGAGAAGCCACAGCTATCCCGATCCTCCCCTGGGGTGGCAAGCGTCCTCTGGCTTCCTTAGTACCATCTTGTTACCTCTTGAACCACCTGACAACCAAGCCATTGGATGAAATCAAATATCTCTGGGCTGTTGGACTACCAGGATTTTGAGAGGTAGGGGCCAACTGGGAAGTCCTTCCTGCTGTCTGACCTCATTTCCTACTACTGCATATTACCCTCCCCCATGCTGCTGTTTAGGAGAGATGCATTATCGTTTAAGAGCATTAACTGCTCTTCCAGAGATCCTGGGTTCAATTCCCTGCACCCCTCATGGCAGCTCACAACTGTTTGTAACTCCAATTCCAAGGAATCAGACACCCTTTCTCAGACATGCATGCAGGCAGACCACCAATGTACATAAAATAAGAATAAATAAATTATTTTTAAAAAGATTAAAGGGTTCTGAAGGAAGGGATCTTCCAGGTGCTGACTGGTCAGCCAAGCTGGCTGAATGGCAGCCTGTTTAATATTGTATTGTGAGGGATAGGGAAGGGTCCATATAAGCCCCCATCCTTGCTGCAGTTGTCCAGAGCTGCTGGACATCTTATCAAACAGAAGGTCCTAAGTGACCTGGGAGCAGGCCACATCAGCCTGAAGGCTGAGGAGGAAAAACCTTGGGAGCCACACATGATAGCTGGAAGAGGACTCTAGTGTTGATGAAGTCAGCTGCCTGTCCCAAATGTGTGTATGCGGAGGGGGAGTCAAGGCCTGTGAGTGTGATCATGATGGGGTTAAAGTCTCAACAACTACTGAGTGTTGCCTTCTTTCTCATTGGTCTCACCACAAACTAAAGTCTTCCATCCCCCTCCAGGGTCTGTGGACAGCAGAGGCCGGCGTCACAGTCCATTGCCCCCCAACCATCCCCCCAAGCCTCAGGGTGGCAGTGCCAAGAGGCCAAGGCGTCCTAAGTAGATGGCAGCAAGACACAGCTCCCTGGAAGGCCAGGCCGGTGGAACCCAACACTGGGCTGAGATGGAGAGTGGCACACGACAAAGGACCTGCCCAAGACCCCATGTCTTGGGTTATTACAGTTGCTGAGGATGTCCCTGGGACCACTCCATATCCCTGGATGCCAATGACTGACAGCCAAGGCCACACTCAGGCTGCAGGGGTCCCTGGGGGATGACTGAACAGCCTCAGACGGGATGGGAGAGAGAATATGTCCCCATCACCACTGACCTCTGAGCAGTCTGCAGCTGGTTCTGGGGGTGCCCGCACCAGGCAAGATAGGATGGCTTTTTTCCTGCTACCTGATTCCCACTCTCAACCATGCTGACAAGGGAGATGATGATGGGAGGGAGGCAAGAGGGAATGGCCAGGATTAGTGAGAAATGTACGCTTTGCTTTTACTGGGGACCTGCAAGGGGAACACTTAAGAGGCTTAGGAGTTTGAGTCTATTGATAAATTATTTCTTTATTTGAGACAGGGTCTCATGTAGCTCAGGCTGGCCTTGAACCTGCAGTGTAGCTGAGGATGACCCTGAACTCTTGGTCTTCCTGCCTTCCTCTCTCTACTTTTGAGATTATAGGCATGGGCCACCACACCTGGTTTATATGGAGCTGGGGATGGAACCCAGGACCCTGTGTGTGCTAGGCAAGCGCTCTGTCAGCTGCCACATTCCCAGGGCTTTCTGTCTTTAAAGAAGGAGAAGGAGAAGGAGGAGGAGGAAGAGGAGAAGAAGAAGAAGAAGAAGAAGAAGAAGAAGAAGAAGAAGAAGAAGAAGAAGAAGAAGAAGAAGAAGAAGAAGAAGAAGAAGAAGAAGAACTGGGGAGGAAAAGGGAACACACAATTGAGTTCCATGTTTGGCAAGACATTGGCATTACCTTGTCTGGTTTTTGCATTTGTTTTTTGAGATATGGGTATGGGGGCAGGGTAGAGGGCTTGGGGCGGGACGATCAAGCTGATAATCCAGGAGAACAAGGCAGTAAGTAGTTTTCTTCTGTGGTTCCTGCCTCTGCCTCTGCTCCTGCTTGAGTCCTGCCCTGGCTTTCCTTGATGATGAACAGATAGCTGTAAATAGAAATAAACCCTTTCCTCCCCAAACAATATGCTTTTGTCATATTGTTTCTCACAGTAACAGACAGCAGGCACTGTCCTTTCTGCTTTGTGCTGGGAACTTTCAGGACCAAGACAGAAGGGACAGGTATTAGGTGGATAGTGACTTAACCTCCTTAGGGTTGGGAGGTGGAGGTGGGCGGTAGTCCCTTCTCTGACTAGGAAGTAGGTTTCAGATGTGTGTGTGCCTGTCCCAGAAATGTGAGGCAGATTCCACAGCTGGGTTTGGGGGTTGTCTCTCCCTCCCTGCTGTGACAACCTGCTGCCAGGGAAGGTGGTTTAGGGCCACTTGAAGTCATCGACCATTTGGACTTTACAAGCTGCTTGGGGGGAGAGAGGCACTATATTTGGGGGCTTTGCTGGGACCTCCGTGAGCCCTGTTGATGCCTACCTCAACTGTGGTGAGGTGGTTGGGGGTGTAGCAGCTGGGATCTCAGGCCCTTCAGACTCAGGTCCAGTAGGCCCAAAGCTTCACACTAAGAATCTTTAGATGTGGTGTAAGGTGACCTTTAAGATTTTACAGTCACAGGCAACTTTTTTTTTCTGTGTATACTGGTTGTCCTGGAACTCACTCTGTAGACTAGGTTGACCTTGAACCCAGAGATCTGCCTGCACAGGCAAACTTTTTGATTGTGGAGATTTTCCATAATGTTTTATTGTTTTAAGATTCAACTTTTATTTTATGAGCATTGTGCTAAAGGGTTAGCTCAGTGGTTAAGAGCATGGCTGTTCTTCTAGAGGGCTTGGGATCAATTCCTAACACCCACATATTGACTCACAGACAAGTGTAACTCCAGGCTTAGGGTATCCAGCGCCCTCTTCTGGCCTCCACGGGCACTGCATGCACATGGTGCACAGACACACATGTGGGCAAAACACCCACTCATAAAAATTTTTAAAAAGTTCCAAAAATAATTCATGAATATTTTGCCTCTGAATCATGTGAGTGTCTGGTGCCCACAGAGGCCAGATGAAGGTTTCAGATCCCCTGCAACTGGAGTTAAGGATGGGTGTCAGCTGCAGTGTGGGTTCTGAGAAGCAGGCCTGGGTCTTCTGCAAGAGCAGCCAGTGCTCTTAACCGCTGAGCCATCTTTCTCAATTCATGTTTTCAGTTTTTTCTTCTTCTTCTCCTTCTTCTTTCTTAATTCTTCTTTCTTCTTCCTCTTCTTTTTGAGACAGGGTTTCTCTGTATAGTCCTGGCTGTCCTGGAGCTTGCTCTGTAGACCAGACTGGCCTCGAACTCACTGAGATCCTCCTGCCTCTGCCTCCCAAGTTCTGGGATTAAAGGTGTGTGCCAGCTGACTGGCCTCAGCTCAGATTTCTTAATGAGTATCACTTTGGCTAGGGTGAGGTGGTATCTCAGAGTAATGTTAATGCTGGACTCTTTTAAAAATGGTCATCAATCCCCGGGCATTGGTGGCTCACGACTTTAATCTCAGCCCTTGGGAGGCAGAGGTAGGCAGATCTCTGGAGTTTGAGGCCAGCCTGGTCTACAAAGCAAGTTCCAGGACAACCCCCAAAGCCATACAGAGAAACCCTGTCTCGAAAAACCAAAAAAAAAGTTATTGATCATTTATATTTTTCTTTTGAATACTGCCTGTTTATTAGGCCCCCATTTTCTTTTTGTTTTTGTTTTGAGACAGGGTTTCTCTGTATTACTTTGGAGCCTGTCCTGGAACTTGTTCTGTAGACTAGGCTGGTCTCCAACACACAGAGATCCACCTGCCTCTGCCTTCTGAGTGCTGGGATTAAAGACATGCACCACCAACTCCCTGCTTCATCAGCTCATTTTTTAATAGGCAGTTGCATTTCTTTAAGTATTAAGGCTTCCTTTTGGTAACTTCTGGATATCAGTCCCCTGTCTGAGGTGTCGCTCCAGATCTCCTGTGGGTACCCGTGTACTCTGCTGTTTCTTTAGCTGTGAAGAAACTTGTATTTCATGTGGTTCCATCCATTGATGGTTTCCTTTCTTATCCTCTGGATCTTCATAGCACTCTAGGGCCCAGGGTGTGTCAGAACCTCCCAGTGGCCTCTTCACTACTGAGAGATACTTTCTGCTTCATTCTTGAAAGGCCCACAGTTATTTATGCGTTTCCTCTGTCATAACCCTGGTTATGAAACCAACTGGGCACACATCCACTGTTTAGGACACACTTGGGGCCCCAGGGAGCTCAAAGATTTTGTATGATGCCAGCAGAATAGCCTGGCAAGCTTACCTAAGTAAAAGAACTTGGAGTCTAGGAAAACAACATGATATGGGGCTGGGGTGTGGCTCAGTGGTAGAGCACTTACTAGCTATGTCCTAGCTCAGAATCCATTCATCCACAGCACTGAAACAAAACAAAATAATCCCTGCCCCATCCCACCCCCACCAAAAAAACCCACAGAAAAGAATCTGTGACATGGAACCTCCAGGGCATAGCCAACCCTATTGACCTCTGCTGACAGGTGCATTCCCTATGCAGAAGCCATTAGGCAGTTGGGCAGCTCATTCTCTGGAGCCCAAAATTTGGATTAGGATCCAATTCTGTCATTTACAGGACTGTGTGCCTCCAGCTGGTTGGTCAAGTTCTTTGAACTGCTATCTTTTTACCTGTAAATGTCTGGATACCATGTACCAATTTCACAGATTCAGAATGTTTCTGCATGTTGTTTTATAGGAAGTAGAATTGGAAATAGAGGAGAAATGAAAAGAATATAAATTAGCCATTTCAGGAGCTGCTGAGATAGATGGCTTAGGGTTAAAGGCACTTGCTGTCAAACCAGAGAACCTCAGTTCAATGTCAGAACCTACATGGTGGAGAAACCAATCCAGCAGATTATTCTCTGGCTTCATTATGCACACACACACACACACACACACACACACAGACACACACACACAGACACACACACACACACACAGACACACACACTAACAGATTTAAAATTCTGGTTGTCTCAAGTTTGAGTCACTTATGTGTTAAGCAAGTATCATCATCACTAGACCATGGAAACTGGCTTTGGGTAATCTATGAACAAAAGCATGAAGATGTTCACTTACAGATGATGTTCCTGTTCCTTAGACAGATGCCTAGAAGAAGGATTGGTTTGTGGGGTCGTCAGGAAAGTGTATCTGTGTGTGTAGTACATTGCCTGACATGTTTTGTCACATGACGCACATTTTGACATACCTGGGGAGAGGGAACGTTAGTTAAGAAATTGCCTCCATCAGATTGAGATGTGGGCATGCCTGTGAGGCATTGTCTTGATTGTTCATTGGCATGGGAGGACCCAGCTGGATGTGGGTGGTGCTACCACTGGACCAGTGAGCCTGGGTCTTATCAGAAGGTAGGTTGAGCAAGCCAGGGGAAACAAGCCAGGTCTTCCATTGATCTACTTCAGTTGTTGCCTTCAAGCTCCTGCCTTGATTTCCCTGGGTGATGGAATGTAACCTGTAAGCTGAAATACCCACTCCCCACTCCCAGCCCCACCCCTGACAAATTGCTGTTGGTCATTGTTTATCACAGCAATGGAAAGCAAGCTAGAAGAGCACCTGTGTGTATGTGCATGTGCCCATGCACCCACGCAGAGGTAAAGGCCTGGAGTGCCCTGATCTATCACATTCTATACTATTCCCTTGAGAGAGGGGTCTCCACTTGAACCTGGAGCTAGACTGGTGGCCAGCAAGCTCCATCAGTCCTCCTGGTTCTGCTCCTCCTCTTTTCTCAACACTGAGGGTATAGGTATGCATGGGGCCAGGCCCAGCCTTTTACATGGTTGCTGGGATTGAAACTGAGACCCTTAATGCTTTCTCAACAAGCACTACTCTTCCACTGGGCCATCTGCAAGCCTTCCCTGCAAGACCCAGGAAGGGTTATGTTTTATACTTCACTGCCAGGCAGCTTCTCAAAGAGGCAGAACAATGTCACACTTCCACCTGCAATGGGAGACACCCAGTTGCTTTACAGTATCACTTGAATTTGGAGTTGTCAGTGTTTACACTGGCATAAGCCATTCCGGCTGATATGTAATAGAAAATAACATTTAGGTAGCCCAGGCTGACCTAAGACTTGCAATCCTGCCTCCATTGCCCAAGTGTTAGGATTACAGGTGAGTGTTACAACACCTGCCTAAATAAAATGCAATACAATAGGGTTTGTCAGCCAGGTATAGTGACACATGCCTTTAATGCCAGCACTTGGCAGTCAGGGGCAGAGGCAGGTGGGTGTTTGTATATTCTAGACCAGCCAGGTACCAGGTTCCAGGTCAGCTAGAGCTACATAGAGCAACTCTGTCTCAAAAAAAAAAAAAAAGGAACGTATTATATGACATTTATACTTTGTTTTGGAGACACTGTCTCATGTAGCCCAGGTTACCTCAAGCTCACTGTGTATCCAAAGATGTTTCTGAACTTCTGATCCTCCTGCCTCCAACTCTTGAGTGTGCTGGGGTTGCAGATGTGTACCACCTTGAGTTGCTTATGCATCAATAGGGATGGAACCCAGGGCTGGGCAAGCACTCCACCCACTGAGCTACATCCCCCCGCCCTGGCCCCGAAATGTACTGCGACCTATTTTCCACCCCCACAAAAGAAAGATGTTGGATCTCTAGCGCCCAGCACCTCAGAAGTGACCTTACTTGGAGACTGGGTCACTAAAATGGTAATAAAATGAGGTCATGGGGTGGTCCTAATCCTGTCTGCAGAGGCGAAGGCCTGGAAGGTCCTCCCTGCAAACTCTCTGTAGGAACCAGCCGGCGTGGCACCTGGATTCCTGCTTCTGGCTTCCAGAACTCTGGGAGCACGTGCACGCTGGGCAACACAGGGGATTTAGCTGTAGGTTTTGAGTCCTGGTAGTAAGTTGGGATCATCGACCACTGAGATATAATTAATCCTGCTAGGTTCTGCCATCCTGTGTCAGATTGCTACAGAAAGTGGCCCTGGGCTCCCGGAGAGTCTGTTGGTCGGAAAGTCTCCCTGCTTTGAGAAGGCTGCTCAGTGCTAGGATTCCGGATGTGCACCGCCATGCTTACTTTGTTTTGTGCAGGTGAGGAGTGCAGGTGCATGTGTGCGTGTCACATGTGGTCTGAGGAGGGCAGAGGACAATGTCAGGCACCTTCTAACTTTTCTTTAGTCTGAAACTTCACCAGGTAGAGTGGGCTAGGCAGCCAGCAAGCTCCAGGGGTCGCTCTGCCTCTGCCCATCTTGGCATTGCTGGCATTACAGGCAGACACCACGGAGCCCGGCTCAGGAGCGTGGGTGGTAGGGACCCGAACATAGGTTCTCACGTTTGTGAGGCAAACACTCTACTCACTGAGCCCTCTTCCCAAATCTTCCTTGGTTTTTGAGACAGGATCTCATTAAGTAAGGCTAGCCTGGAATTTCCTTCCTATTCTACTGCCTCGGACCCCAAAATAGCTGGGGTGACAGGCCTGCACCACCATGCCTGTCTCTCACTAAGAGCTTTACCTGCTTGCTCTCTCTTAAGCCCCATAAACTCTCTGACGGGATTGTCAGCCAGCTTTGCCCACGCTGCAAGTTCGTGCTGAGAGACAGGCCCCGCCCCGTGAGGCCAGCCACTCCCCCATCGCGGATTGGTTGCTGTGGAAGGGGCGGGACTCCCAGTGCATCGTGGGTGGGACCAATATCTTGCCGTAAATAAGGCGCCACATGGCACGGGCTGGCGGGGACGAGGGTGGGGAGGAGGGCGCAAGCGCATCAAGGACGGGCGTAGTCCCGCTAGCTAGTTGTCGCGAGAAGATGGAGGATGGGGGTGGGTCGGATTGGGGGGCGGGACCGCGCCTCGGGAGGGGCTGCTAGCGGGAGGGGCTGTTAGCGGGAGGAGGCGACATCGCCCGCAGAAGCGGCAGCAACAGCAGCAGCAGCAGCGGCGGCGACGGCAATAGCGGGCGCTAGGTGAGGAGCGCAGGCTCGAATGGAGTGAGGTGTGCGAGGGACTCTCGGGTCCGGGGTGGGGCGAGGGCTCACGGGTGGGCGACGCAGATCCGTACCCCGTTCTGCCTGGCTTTGGCCGCTCCCACGTGGTCCCGGGTTCGAATCCCAACTCTGGCCAACTGGCTTTGTGACCTTGGCCCAGCGCGCACCTTCTCTATGCCAGCTTCTTGTAAAGCCCTGCAGAATGCGTGGAAGAGGGTGTGGTCGCTTGGCGGATCTCCTTTGCAGTAGAAGCGCCTGGCTTTGAGGGGGGACACCTTATCAGTTTTGTCTCTGGCTATTTGGGTGGCTGGGCGAGAAAGCAATTGTTTAGAGACTGGCGTGCTGCAGTGTCCCGGCAAGACCTTGTAGTGAAGCCAGTTTTTGCACAGAGCAAGCACTGGTCCCACATCTCTCCCAGTCAGCGAGCATCCTCCTGTCCCTGAACTTGGCTGGCCACAGACAGCAGCGCAGACCCCAGCTCACAGATGGGGCTGAGCATTTCTGTGGTTGCCCCCAGCGGCAGCCTCATGCCTGGTGGGCCACAGGAAGCCGAACATTAGTGGCTAACAGTAGGACCTATCTTCTCTTTGGGCTTCTGGCCACGAAGACATCGCTGGCAGACCCTGGCCTCCGCACATCCGCCTGGCTGTTGCACAGAGAGCTGAAATGTTTGCACCCTTCTTAAATTATTGATTCTATAATCCTCACTGCGATGGGAGCCCCAGGTTGAATGAGAATGTGAACCTCGGGATGGAGTGGTGCTCTGAGCCTTTGGATTGCTGGGGCTCCACAGTGTGACTCCAGGCTTGGTAACATAAGTTAGGGCCCTGTGTCTGGGTGTGAAGGAGAGGAAGAAGATTATTGAATGAGAATGTGAACCTCGGGATGGAGTGGTGCTCTGAGCCTTTGGATTGCTGGGGCTCCACAGTGTGACTCCAGGCTTGGTAACATAAGTTAGGGCCCTGTGTCTGGGTGTGAAGGAGAGGAAGAAGATTATTGGGAAACTACTGCGGGCAGGGTATGATGCAGCTTTGAGAGTTGCCTAAGGCAGAGCATGGTGCCAGCATTTTCCAGCTGAGGCAAGGGGATTGCTGGGAGTTTTGAGGGCAGCCTGGGCTGCATAGTGACTCAGGCTCAAAAAAAAAAACACAAAAGGGCCTGCCTAGAATCTTCATGGTTAATTTCCTTACAGACGGATTGCTAGGACTTGGGGCTGAGTTTGCAGGCGGGCAGTAACTGTTTACTGCTGTCTTGTGTATGTGGGCCTGCGTAGTCAGTTTCCTGTTGCATGGGCAAACCACCAAAATGGGTGGATTGCTGGAAACCATGGGCCCTGAGTAGCTCAGGCCCACCTGGCTCAGGTTCGCCTGATTTGGTGATACGGTTCAAGCGCCACTGTATGACAGACGCTTGCAATAGGCAAAGAGAATTCCAGGTAAGCCTGGCACCCAAGAAATGGAGGCAGGAGTGTCTGCAGCTGAAGGCTAGCCTGGACTATGTGAAACCCTATCTCTAAGAAGCTCACCAAACAAAGGAACCCTACGTATGAAGAGAAGAAACAGCTAATGCAGGAGACATTGAGCCGCTGTGCTCATGGGGGTAGAACTTGGGGAGGAAAGACTAGTGGCAGGCGGGCAGTTGTGTGCATGTTCATGTGTGTGTGCAAGCGTATTGAAAGCCAGAGGACAACTTACGGTGTCATCCTCAGGAATGCCATCCACCTTCTCTGAGACAGACTGGCTGGCCTGGAGTCTACCAGTTTGGCAAGGCTGACTGACCAGTGAGCCCCGAGGATCCCATCTTGCCTCTGCCTCCCCAGTGCTAGGATTATAGGCACACACCATGCCAGACATTTTCACTTTTGTGGATTCTGGTGATCTGAACGGAGGTCCCTGTGTTTGTGTGGCAAGCCCTTTATTAACTCAGCCCTGAAAGAACCTATTTCTGCTTGAGAAGGACCTGGACGCCATGCTGGAGCCCAAGTTCTGGCATGAGCTGGGACCAGGTCTGTTAGAGGTAAACCCATGACCCTAGAGGAAAGGACAGGTGAATTTGGGGTCTAGAGAGATGCAGTAGGTGTCATCGTGGGGGTGCGGATACAGCACAGTAGCTAGGGAGAGGGAGAGGAGCCTCTCTGGGCAGCGAGGCTCTCCATAGGATGTGGTAGGAACTGGGCAGAAGGCAGAAGGGATGTGAGTTCTGGAGTGGGTAGTCACTCCCTACCATGCTAGGTGCTGGGGGAGGCATGGGATCGTGTGTGACCTTTAGATGCTAACAAGGTGTGACATTGTGAACCTCCAGCGCACAGTGCTGGGCTCAGGCTTGGAATCTCAGGGAGAACCTGAGGAAGGAGGTGCAGGCAGAAGAGAAGTGGGAGCTTAGCTGGCTGTGCACAGATCGGTTCATGGCCATTACCTCGTGATCCTCGGGGCTGGGTGGGGGCGATGATTCTGTTCTAGGAAGGCCAGGCCAGAAGGTGCCGTGGGTGAAAACAGCCTAGTTACTCATGATACTGAAATAAGTCAGGTGGGAAAATGCGTGTGTGTGTGTGTGTGTGTGTGTGTGTGTGTGTGTGTGTGTGTGTGTGTTTCTTTTTGTTTGTTGCTTTTCGAGACAGGGTTTCTCTGTATTGCCTTGACTGTCCTAGAACTTGCTTTGTAGACCAGGCTGGCCTCAACCTCACAGAGATCTGCCTGCCTCTGCCTCCGGTGTGCTGGCATTAAAGGCCTGTGTCACCATGCCCAGCTATATACATTTTGAAACAGGGTCTCATGTAACCCAGGCTGGCCTCATTCACCTCTGTAGCCAAGGATGACTTAGAACTCCTGATCTTACTGCCTCCACCTCCCAAGTGCTGGAATTCCTGGCATGCGCCTCTACACTTGGTTTATGCAGTGCTAGAGGAAGAGTCCTGGGCTCTGAGCGTGCTAGGTGAGCTGTCTACCGACTGAGCTACACCCCTAGCCCGGGACTATCATTCTAAAACAGCTTACATCTTCACTGCCCAGTTTTTACAAGTTTGTATTTCAGCCAGGCAGATGAGTACTCCTTTAGTCCCAGCACTGATAAGGCAGAGGCAGGTAAATCTCTGAATCTAAGTCTAGCCTGGTCTACAGAGCTAGTTCAGGATAGCTAAGGCTATACAAAGAAACCCTGCCTTAAACCTCATCTTGACTTTCAAGTAGCAGGAAAGCCTGTATTCCCTGTACTGTAGAGGTGGGAGCAGGAGCTGGAGATGATGGAAGAGATGGGGGGGGGGACTAGGAGAAGGGGAGGAGGAACTGAAGGAGGGGCTAGCTGTAAGTTTCACACCTCTTCAGTGTGTACAACCCCTGCTGATGGTTGTTGCTGGCCTACAGATGTGGCTGGAAATAGCCTGCCCTCTCACATAATACTTCCTGCTGTTAGCCAGTGAGGTTTCTGAAACTATTTAGAAACTCTGAAACTTTCCAAATGGGAAACAGCAGGCACAGTGGTAAGTGGGGGAAGGGCTGCCCTCGGAGCGCAGAGGAACAGCAGAGGAGAACATTCAGCCCCCAGCTGGACCAGTCCACTTGTTCCCCTGGCCTTTCCCTTTTGCCAGGAGGATGGATGATCTTCTCACATCTGGGGTAGCCCAAGACAAGAGCCCTACAAGTAACAGTGATCGGTCCCCAGTTGGAACACTCAATTGGATTGTTTCTAAAGAAACTCATAAATGAGCCGGGAGGTGGTGGTGCACACTTTTAATCCCAGCCCTAACGAGGCAGAAGCAAGTGGATCTCTGTGAGTTAGAGGCCAGTCTGGTTTACATAGTGAGTTCCAAGACAGCCAGGACTATATAGTAAAACACTGTCTTGGAAAAAAAGGAAGAAAAATAATTAATAACCCCTTACAGGATGAGGTGGTGGCATGGTGACACATGCTATCTTCCTAGGGCTTAGGAGGCTGAGGCAGGAGGTTAGACCAGACTGCTACATGGTAAGACCCTGTCTCAAAAAGCCCAAGTCAGAGTGGGGCTGTTGGCTCCCACATTCAGTCCCAGCATTTGGGAGACTGATTGGAGGTAGTTGGGAGGAGAGAGAATATGAACATAGGAGGATCAGAAAGTTCAGAGTCATCTGCTGCATATCAAATAGTTTGGGGTTAGCCTGACCTACATGAGAACCTGTCCTTTTTTTTTCTTCCTAGACAGGGTTTCTCTGTATTATTTTGGAGGCTGTTCTGGAACTTGCTCTGTAGACCAGGTTGGCCTTGAACTCACAGAAATCCACCTGCCTCTGCCTCCCGAGTGCTGGGATTAAAGGCATGTGCCACTAACACCTGATGAGAACCTGTCTTAAAAAAGAAAAAAAGATACCTAAGGAAAGATTTAGTAGTTGTCTCAGTGGATAAGTGCTGACCGTGCAAGCAGGAGGACCTGAGTTTGCATCACTTGTACTCACATAGAAGCCAAGTATGGCAATGTGTACCCACGGGCTCAGTGCTGGCAGAGAAGGGGGAGTGGGGACAGGAGGATTCCTGGGGGTCACTCATGATTTCCAGCTTCAGTGAGGAATTCTGTCTCAAAACAAAGTGGAGAGCGACTGAGGAAGACACCCAAACGTCAGCCCCTGGCCTCCATGTTCACATACTCATGAACAGCAAAAATAAGTAAGTGAATAGGAAATTCCTTGAACTCCATCCTCAGGCAAGAGAGCATTAGCTAGACACTTAATATACTGTCCAAATGTGTCTCTTCTGAACTGAGGGTGACTGGTCAGGTTATGTCCCTATATAAGGTATTAAGCCTAGACAGAAAAAGACGGTTGGAGGGACCGTGTGTTCCCTGGAGATGGGTGAGAAGAGCCATTGCAGGGGGCCAGGGGACCAGCAGGACACCATGGCTACAGGTGCTCCTGAGCCCAGCAGCTCACGGGGCCTATGGGAGAGGACGGGTTTGGAGGAGATGGACTCACACTGGAACAGCTGCAGGGAACTTGACACAGTTGGCAGAGTTGAGACTGGATTAGTCCTCAGAACACAGAAA